GGTGGACAGGAAAACACGAGAATAAAAGGACGCGATACAATGCCTTAGGTATGACTGTGACAGACGATGATATAAACAGATGCATGCAACGAGGTCGGCGACAATACTCAACACACTGCAGCGATGGGGAAGAGACCTGTTGGATACAAACAAACGCAATGCCATACCAGTTGAAGACCGACGTCGGTTGGAACTCTACTTCACACAACTCAACATGCAACCAGACAGCGCACGTGGGGATACTGAACCAGACGAACGCACCAAGTCAACACTGGCAAGAGTTGTCGAGAAACATGTGAATGAGCAACGAGTCAAACAACTGAACCATCGACTTGTCCATGATATTGACGACGATGATCATCTTAACCGTGCAGTGGTTGTCAACTCTATCGCCAAGCTTGACAAAGACGTTGGTCGAGTCGATAAGCAATTGGAGCATATCCTGTCTGGTGGAGATCTTGGTAAACTCCCCATCATCGGTGGTGATGGTGCCGTTGCAGAAGATGATGATCCAACCAAGCTCAGAGTTCATGACAAGGAGGTAAGCAAATCATTGGTTGCCTACTGGGAGAAGATAACAAGCGACAGAGATAGAATCATCAAAGAGACATTGGGAGAGAATCAACGAGAGATTAACAAAGTGGACAACCTATCCAAACAGTTCAACAGGATAACATCTAAAGCAAATCTCAAGAGTATTGATATCAACAATGTTGTGATCAAGTTTGATAAGATGCAACAAGAGAAACAGACACTTGTCGATGCTGTCTCTCAGTTTGATCAATCATTCCAACCCGACCAAGTAATCAATCAACTCAAGGAACTGTTCCGTCCATACTCTGATGCATTGGCAACTATTAAACGTAATGGAACAGATGAGATCGTCACTCAGTGATTGATTGAATAAATGACTATTTCTAGAATTGCCAACAACATCTCACTCTCCTTTCATAGTCTGGATCAGATCAGCGATCAGCACAACAACATATAGATAATAACAATCATGTCATCACAATACTCGGATATCATTCTAAGAAACGGCTCAACCATCAAGACAGAGACTGGGGAGACTCTGTTTGGAAGTCCCGACGGCTCACCCACATCCATCCCAGTCACATGGACGATTAACACAACGGCAACAGGTGAAAGTCCAACAATCGCCGAAGTGAGTGGTCAAGCAACTCGAATCGGATCGATGGTCTACTGGGACTTTGATATATTTGACATTCCTCCTGGTACTAATTCAACTGTGTTTGGTCATATAAAGACACCCTCAACGATCCCACCAAAGTTCCTTCCAAAGCCTTCCAATCCAAGATGGTTCTTCAGAAACTACTTTGTGCCAGTGGCACCAACTGATACTACAGAGGGACAGATGCTCAGAGTTACATTCTCTGGATTCCGCCTGTTCAGTATTGATAACTTTGCTAGTCATGGAACCAAACCATTTGGAAGTATCGCCATACCATGTGTAACATTTGATCAGAACCTGGAAAACAGAGTTTAGTAGATATTGATTGGCACACGAGGAGACCTCCAACCAATGAACACATCAATTAATTAAAATCAAATATTTTTATTTAAAACACTTTACTGAAACCATCAATTCTTTCACCTCCTACTAAAGTTCATCATGCATATCATGGGAGTGAATGTCTTCACCATGAGCATACTTAATGTCTTCGAATGTACCAGTAAGCTTATATCCATTGAACATCAAAGGTGCTACTTCTTTAACATGTACTGCGTTGAAGTAATTCGTTGTGTTTCTGAAAGCTTCCATCTTCACCATAACTTCACTTTTGAAATGATCAAACCAACTTGTCTTTCCCTGAACATTACTATGGAGGAAATTGTAATAACTTCGACAAGTGTCCGTATACCTTAGCATTGCCGCCTCAGCCATCTCAGCAGTCCAATTGGCTGGGTATCTCAGTCCACCAGATATCCACCCCTGGACAATAAAACGATCCACCAAAGCGCTTGTTCCTCCACCAGGAGCGTTGGGAGAGGTTCCAGAGCTGCATGCATTGTTGTTGTTTCCGCCACCGCCGCCATTCGGTCCATTATCGGGGTCATCATCATCTGGGTCTCGGGGGGGGGCATATCGATGCTTTCTTATCACACCGACAAGTTCGGGATACATGTATGGTGTCCCAGTGTGGGTGGGCGCAATTCGAGAGATGTTCCACCAAAGGATTGATAGGCAAACTGCTACTGGTGTTGATGTATGCGCATTGAATGAGTGAATGGCTGATTGAGTTTGAGGAGTGGCACCTGGTCCTTCAACCAAACATTGTGAATCTGGATACTTCCTGTTATGATTTTTAGTTAGTTTAGCTCGATTGGCTTCGATCGAATCGATATGTACCTCTTCTTGTTTGATCGAATGTCCTCCAACAATGGGTTGCACATCAGGATGATGCGAGTGAATCCACGCTCATAGGACATCTTGAGAATGGAGAGGATTGTTCGATGGTATTGGAGCCGGGGCATGGCATTGAGCAATGATCGGTGTGTGACAAAGTAGTGCTCCAAGATGTGGTGTGAGTTGCTTAGGGTCGCTGTCATCAATGACTCATATGATGATGATAATGGCAATGGTTTGTCTTTGAAATATTGCTGCAGCAACTCAATCACTTCTGGACGATCGGATTGGCATGCATTTGAAATGATCTCTGCCACAACCTGATCCAAAGCTTCGATTGAGTGCATGGACAATAGGTGCTTGAACACTTCAAAGTTGTCAACAGCATCGACACACAATTGAGGCTGGCTCACCAGATCTGGAATATATCGTCTCACCAACTCGATGGTGTCGATTGTCGGGTTGCTATGCTCAACCATGTGCCCCATTGCGCGGTGTGCCCTCTGGTCATCATAATCACCATTGTGTAGTTGTCGTTGTTGGTGTAGTTCGAGGAGGTAGGTCATTGAATCTTCACACTTGTACTTGATTGCCCTGTATAGACACTTGTAGGTGTAGGGCATATTGGTCAGGTCGTGGACTGCCTGCATGAGTGATAAGGAGACGGCTGCAGACTTGTTCATCATAGATGATGCAATCTCATCATCTTGTTCAAACTCGTCGTCTTGGTTAATGGTTGAGCTGCGTAGGTATGTGACGGCTAGATCTGGTGACAGATGGCCTCCGCATGTCGCAATGATGAGATCATTGAGCGTTTCAGGGTTGATTGGATGTTGGAAGTTTGGTTGCAACCTGGCAAAAAAGGACCACTGCTTCAGACTTTGTGATTCCCACACATTTGATTCCATTCCAAATGCATCTACATTGCTGTCCAGAATGGCCACGACAAGAGTATCATCATTCATCTCCAACGCGCGATGGAACGGTACGAGTGGTGTATAATTCAGAGTAGACGCGAGTTCCACCGCCATCATTTCATTGAGCAGTGACTGCTTAAATGATGAGATTGTGTTGGCATACTCGTTGCTGAGAAGATGCTCGATGATGTTTCTCTCAAGGTTCTTGGGCAATCCGCCTCCACTTTTGCTCTTAAGATATTTGATACCGGTTGGTGTGTGCAGGAGTGCCTGAAGATGTTGAACGTGTCCTTGCTGCAAACTACCAGAGATTCCACTGGATATGGCATTGACAAAATGGTGCGCCTGGTTGAAGTGTGGCGGCATGTTGTCCAACACATATTGCACAGTGTCTGCATCACAGTCCTTGTTGCAACGTTCCAAGATCATGGTCGCGACGGAATGGGTGTAGAGTATTCCATCACATTCATTGTTTAGAAAACTGATCATCTCAACACCGATCGACGGGAGTTGAGTAGGATATGTATTTGATATGTATTTTGGGGAAGGTATGATTAAATGATTGATTGATCTAATCAAATAACGTTATTGTAATGGCGCGTGTAATAATGTAACATGTCAAGTCTATTGTCATTCTACTTGTGGTGGTGGGAGCGTGTTTGGACTACTTCTGTGAGAGATAACCACACCACAATTCAACAGTACCGACATGATTGTTTGTTGGTGATCAATCAGAAACAATCAACAGATACACCAACTAATATAATAATTGATATCTACATTGAATAAACTATCATTTGAATATTTTATTATGTCACTAACAAAGAGTAAACATGGAACTACGGATGATGAATGTGATGTATATAGTGATGAAGAAGAAGAGATGGCCGTCAGCATTAGTGCGGCGCCTAGTATCCATGATGAGGCCAACCAGAATGGTAATTTACTACATCAAAATGATTGATTTTGGAGTATTGTTTATTAATTCAAACAATGATTTGTTGTAGATCCTGATATTGAACGATACAATAGGATGTTAAAAGTTGAGTTGTTGGCAGAGGCAAAGAAACAGAAGAAGAAAGTATCTAGTAGTCTAACTAAAGAAGCAATCAAGGCAATTCTACTCGATGATCAGCCCGATATTTCTTTGAAAGAATGGACTGACCAAAAGCCCAGGTTGGGTCGGGGGCGATACCATGTTGAAGAGGTGAATCATCGAGGAGCATACACCAATTTGCAGGTGTTCGAACAATTCTTTGACGACGAGATAGTCCAACTCATTGTCGACCAAACCAATATTTATATTCATCAAATGGGCAGAGAGGAGCAGTTGGAGAAATTGTTCTTTGGACATCCAATCAACAAAATGATAATATTCAAAATGTTTGCTGCGGTCATCACAATGGGAGTTGTTGAAATACCTAAGTATGAGGACTATTGGGAGGATGGAGATTGTTTCCTTCCATCAGTGGCAAGAATTATGACCAGAGACCAGTTCCGTTTCTTAGTAACAAACCTTCACTTTGCCGACAACTATAAGTTGGATCCAACGAACCGTCTATACAAGATAGACCCAATCATCTCATTGTTAAATCGCAGATATCAAGGATTATGGTCATTGGGGGCGAAGTACTCAATAGATGAAGCAATAATCCCGACCAAGAACAAGGCACATGGATCTAGACAATATATCAAGAACAAGCCTGATAAATGGGGAATCAAGCTTTGGAAACTGGTGGATCAACATGGATACTTGTTCAAGTTCTCAATTTACCAAGGTAGAAGAGGAGTGGCTGAAGCATCAACCTACCCTCATGGTGAGTCGGTTGTTAGGGAGATGTTGGAGGGCATTGATGCAAACCACTGGCGCGAGCTGTACATTGACAACTACTTCACAACGATTGGTCTACTTGAGTATCTCAATTCAATACAAATCAATTGTTGTGGAACAATCAGATTGGATAGGAAGACCATCCCTGCTCACCTTCAGAATGTCAAATTGCGACAAAAGATGGAACACAATTATCTTACCAAGGTTGGCACCCCGATCACTCTACTCAGGATCAAGGACTCTCGAATATTTGGTTTGATCAGCAACTTCCACTCACCAACCAGTTTGGTACCATACAATTCTGTTTCAGAAATGAGATCATCATCGACCTTAGAGCCACATGAAGTGCCAGAGGCCCTCGCAGACTATCGCCAAAACATGGGCAATGTTGACCAAAATGATGAGATGATAAAGTCCCATGCTTGGATTCATAAATCAAGGAGATGGTATATGTCAATATTTTGGTACCTGTTGGAAGCGACCATTGTAAATTCTTGGCGATTTAAAAAGCGTTATCAAGGTTGTAACCAAACGATAGATCAGTTCAGACACTCTCTCAAGACCGAAATGATCAATGGCGAGACCCTCCGAAAGTGTGAGATATCAAACAATTACTTTCACATTGGCGAATACAGAAAAGTCCTGGTCGATAATGACAAGATTGAATACACCTCATATAATGTTGTAAAAAAACATAAGAAATAATAAACATCAAGTACAACATCTAACGTTATTAAATCCAATCATTTATTACTTCTGGACAATAATACAAATTAAAAACTATTATTTATATTAAATTTAGTGCTCAAAACAATCATGCAAAAGTTCGCGCCTTGAGGGTTAAAATAGTTGTAGCCCACCAAATCACCCACCTGAACAGTGATTTCCAATACACAACACTCAAAGAGTTCATTTTCTCTATTACATGATTCCTAACAAACAATGGCATCCATAACAAATCTAGGAGTAAATATAAATAATCTATGTTCACGCCATAGATCCTGTCTACGTTTGAAACATGACATAGAGAAGACCTATGCTTGTGTTGGACCTAAACGTGATTATTCAACACATGATGATCAACAAGCTTACAAGGATATTCTTTTGGATGACGAATGTACTACAGACTGTAAGAAAGGTCTTGTCATCTTGTTCAAACGGTATAAGGTTTGGGCAGACAACTGGATTAAGATTGTGGATGCAACTAAGGTCCGAGATGGTCCAACTAAACCCATGCAAATGATGTGCACGCCAGATGAATATTTTCTCTATCTTGGAGGAGTTTATTCAGAGAAAGATCGTTCTCATTTCGAGGATAATTATCTTCTCTATCCCCTCCAACCAAAGGATTTCGAGATCAACTGGACACGCAATATACTAGAGGAGGACGAGAAGACTAAGAGGATCGAGCAACTAGAGAAGCAATTGAGCGATGCTTTGGTTGCACTCTGTCACAAGCGCAAACGTGAAGCGGAAGTTGAGACGCAAGAGGAGGTCACCAATGGCACTCATGAAAGTACGTCAACACCACCAACTGAGGAGCAAAGTCAACAATAAAGTACATGTTACCTCCGGATGTCTCTTATATATAAGAGCCCCTGCCTCAAGGGTTCCATTAATATCATTACATTTACAATACTACTAGAGAGAGAGTATAGAGATAGATATAACAAATAGATAACATCAACAAATGTCAGAGACCCACGGTCATTGCCCAACTCCTACCGAGAAAAAGTTGGTTGCTTGCCATTTTATGTTGCACGCCGCGCATATGAGAGGAGACCAAGACGCAATAGAACAAGTAGTGCGGCACCCCATCCATTGGGTATGATATCGATTGATGGATTCAGATCCATGAGGCAGATCGGCTTGCTGGTTGACAACTTGCTGACGGCAATGTGTTTGGCATTGATGACGACACGAATGTCATTCTCGATGTCGTCCAGTAGTTTGAGCTTGGTGCCATCTGGGCATTCTGATCCTACTTCACCAGAGATCGTTCCTTCGAATGTGTACTCTCGAGGGACATGTGTGGCATTGATGTGATTGGTTGTTATATCCAAGGCATCGCACTTAGAAGTGTTAGTCATTGTTGTTATACTGCTGATCATAAGACATTTGTGGGTAGTAGTTGTAGGCGTTGGCCATCATGTTGTTGTTGTTGTTGTTGTTGTTGTGGTTGTGGTTGTTGTTCTGTGGTGGACCACTCAATCAAGCAGGAGTATGAGCAGCTCACCAACTACCTCTCGCAGGACCTACGAGCAAATGCGTCTGATCCTCTAGCACACATTCGCCACCAAGCTACCGTACAAGATCTGGCGTCAAAGTTCACAGTCGGACAAACTGATGTTTCTTCGAGTCCGATAATCCGCGTGCCATCACTGGAGTATCTGGAGAAGATGAGGAAGTACTCACCCTCGTCAACCTGGACATATTCAACCAATTGAGAGGAAGTTTGGTGATGGAAGATGGACTCACAGATACTGTAAGTAATAAATTCACCTTGAACATCGTCGAGCGCCTTTTTGAAGATAACTTTTTCATTAAGAGCAATTACAAGATAAATAACAGATACAACATTAAACATATTGATTACAATGAATGAGGTGACAAGCCCAACTACAATGGGTATTGTCATGATTGGAGGAATTGACTTTCATCGTATACACGTAGGCAGAAAGAGGACTGTCAGGTTCACATGTAACATCAACAGACATCAACTTCAAACTGATCGCTTACTAACATTACATACGATCAAACATACAGTGGTAAACTGTGACTCAAAGTCGATACTCATAACAAACTTGGTTCTCCAACACACAAAGAGCCTTAACAACTCTACCAACTCATCGTTGTCCTCCTCTTCTACCTCCTCTTCAACAAACCTTTATCTTCACAAAAGTCTTTCAAATGACTCCGATCAACAACAGCTACAACAACAGAAATTTTTAATCAATAGCACACAGACAGCAGCTATTGTACAACCAGACTCTCATCAACCCTTTACTATTCCATCAAACATAGAGTTTCCAATTGTAATACTACCATGGCAGGAGTTTGAGAGCCATATATCATTCTCACCATCATCAAGTGGTTGGTTCACGGCCTTGCTATCGATTCACTCCATTGAAGGTTCAATGCCCAAAATACAACAGATATCATTGCATGGTGAGGGTGAGCAACCCTCCACTCCAACTCAGATAATCTACAAGGTATTGTCAAACTCTCTCTCTTTCTCTCTCTTTCACTTGATAACTCATTACCTACCAAAGCAGGACAACCAATCACCACTTATCATTGAGACACCAAAGAAGTACATGGAGTCTACACCAAGCAACTCCAACTCAAGTTCACTCTATGATCATATGACATCACAACAAGGCTCAACGATAAGATACCCAATATTCTTTGATGAGGATTGTCCACAATCCATTGGTTCTGGCTCACACAACATTTCCTCACTTCTCGATAGTTCAACACATACAAGCTCTCAACACAAAAAGTCCGTCCAATCAACTCTTCCCAACACATTGTCCAGAACATCATCTACTACAACACCTTCAAGATCAAAAGAGAAAAGGAAAGTCAGATGGAATCCATTAGTGTCTGAAATGGCTACAGAAGGTACAAACCAACTATCTTCCTCTAGAACAGAGCTACCATCAAGCAACTCTGCAACATCAAAGACTTTCACTCCTGAATCATCACACTACCAGCATCAACAAACGTTCAGACCAGCTCCACCACGTAATAATAACAAACATCCAACACAACAACAACAACAACCAAGATCACAATCATTTGGTCGGGACCATACCCTACTTGAGAACAGGTTTGAGTACCTAGAGAAGAAGCTGATGGATATTTCAAAGTTGGTCAATAGTACTACCAACCACCGCAATATTATTAAGTCCGACCAAAATGGAAAGAATACTACATCATCAACGCCAGTTTCCACACCAAATGGCAACCGACAGGAACCAAATGAAGTTCCCCAGACTGCTAGCACGAGCACAAGCCAACAAGACACAAGCCATATCCATATGACTGATGACGATTGGAAACTTTATAATGAATTGGAAACAACAAAGAGCAAGGTAGCGACACCAGCAGCGTGGAAGAACTTTCTTAGACCATCCCTTGAGCGATCAATCGACCATTCACTCTATAAGTATGAACCATCAACACCCTTTATCTCTCGGTCAAATAAAGTGAATAAATGACACCATCAATCTATTTAGTGAAGAATTTATTATCTAGTTGTAGAAGTTGTCGATGGTGCTTGAGGCAAGCCGGTAGATATCTGGTTATCGTGTGACTTGGTAGTCATATCACCAGAAGATGTTGATGATGTTTGGTTTTGTTGTTGCTGTTGTTGATTCTTCCTAATAAATTGCTCATGTCTGTCGTGTACTTGTTTGAAATGGACCAAGAGTCCATTGAAATCAATATCCCTGAGTTCTGGAAAGTTTGCAACATTGTTGCCATCTTGCTTTTCCCTATGATTAGTTAATATTAAGAATGATTAGTTAATATTTGTCCAAATACTATTAATTAACAAAGTGTGACTAAGATTACCTCTTTGGAACCAGTTGAAGTACTCCCAGTGATGAGATGCAAGTCAGACGGTTCTTCAAAGTTTCAAACGCAGAGCTCTGTGGAAGGATCATTAGAATACCATAGAGCAACTTGAAAAGTGAAGGGTATCTCTCTGGCTCTAACAGTTGGAGTCTAAGTGCTACAGTATTATAATATTGTTAGAAACATCCGCCAATTGGCAAAACATAATTAAAATTGTCACTGAGACTTACACATGAATCTTGGTGACTCTAAGAGTTGAATTAGTCTGTCCATCTCCATTAGGAAGTTGACTGTTATTTCGATCTCGGCACTATGTGGTTTTGGAGTACTGTATTAGTGACAATCACAACAACAAACGTCATTGAACCAACTAGAAGAGACTTACAATTTGGCCAATAGATCACATGCATGTACATAGACCTGACATAGCATACATAKAGACTAAGGAGTGAAGCAGGACTGTGAGCCCATGACTTGTAGAGCGTGGAGAACAGATCCCTGCTTGCTGGTGATGCTAGTGTACGAAGGTCTCTTCTGATGTCGATGCACTCGTCAGATGTAAGAAGGATGAGATTGAGTGTTTGCACCATGACACTGGCAAAGTCAGGATCGGCTTCATTGGTGAGGATGAGTGAGAGACGTCGGAAAATGAGCTCGGCATTCAAGAACAAACAGAGTTGTCTGATGATAAAGCTGCCCCTTGACTTTAGAAGTATGGGATCAGAGTGGAACAGCTGGATCAAATTCTGCATTAAACGGTCAAATAACAAGGTGTTGTCAGAGGCTATCTTTGCAATCACCTCTAGGTCCAATGCTACAACCTGTATTTGAACGGGACAAATTGAAGTGTTAGTAGTAGTCGTGGCAATAAAGGATGAATAATCCACCATTGTCTACATACATCATCTGATGGATCGGAAAGTGTCTTGAGCAAAAGCGGGAATAGGTCACTTAAGTAAGGAGATATATCTGTGGGAAGCTTTGTGTGAAGCATCAATATCCATTTGAGTGATGATATTCGAGATTGAACAGCATTGCTTGAAAGATGTTGGGTAGTGATATGTAGGAACTCTCTATGTAGCAGTATATGTTTAGTAACCATATGGTTGACAACCCATGATGCTCAATGCCTGAGAACTTACTTGATTGGAATTGTCTGATTTGTTTGCATGACCAACTTGTGAAGAAGAGACATTGAGTTTGTAGCAATGTTCTCAATATCGTTGAGCTGATGAGAGAGGTTTGGTAAGATGCCACTCAGGATGTGTGGACTGAAAGGGAGAAGCTTCTCCCTTCCCACAATAATGAACTCGTTGATCCAAGCCAGTGCTCTCAACCTGGTGAACTCATCAGTTGATCCACAGTGGGGAACAACAATCTTTACCATGTTTCCATAGTCAACATCGTTTGCTGTCTGCAACTCTCTCAAAAACTCTGACAACGACTTGTCTGCTTCGATCCTAATGTTATATGTGTGGCGGGTGGTTAGTTGTAATGGTCTGACAAGCACTATGAACAACAGCATAGTCATCATCATACCTGATCTCTTTGTTTTGATCCCTCAACATCTTGAAGAGACCATCCAAGAACTTTGGAAGATGAACCAACATGTCAATATTAGGTACACTATCGAGAACGATGATCCATCCAACAATAAACTGTCTGCAAAAAGGATTAATTACATAGATCCTCTCTCTTAACAATGGTATGAACCTGTAACGTAGATAATAATGAAGATGTCAATAAAACGAAAGTTAATTAAACGGGTAAATCTTTGAGCTCCACTTACTTATCAATGTCAAATGTTTGGCTCTCCGTTACTATGTCCTTGAGAAGTCTATCAAAGAGCTGAGCACCATTCTTGACCTGAGGATCGGGATCAGCAGATAGTTTGCAAAGAGCATCAAAGATCTCATTGAAGAACAGAAGGATTCTATTCCTGACGACCTTGGCAATGTTGAATAGAGACTCACAGGCATAGAAACGCACGCGACTGTCATGATCGATGAAGCACCTGAGGACAGGTGGTATGAGATCCTGGATGTACACGGTTGTGGTATCTTGGCCAAGTCCGATGGCCACAGAGGCAAGGCCAATGAGTCCACCCTTTTTGTTGTGGCCCTGTGTTGAATCAGTAAAGTCGTGCGACAAAACTCTGATTATTGACTTGATGCTTGTTTCGTCGTTGTTAGCATTTAGGTCTCTAACAAGTTGTTCGATCTCTTGTGCTCCATTCTTTCTTCTGTCATTATTCTTGTCAGTTAAGTTCTTTATGATATTGTTAGGTATTGGCGATTGATCTTGTGACTTTGATGCCATTTTTTTGGTTGTATATCTATTTATCACTCCTTCTTTTGTTGAAGAATGAAAATCTTGTTGTTGTTCAAAAAGGTCATGTCCTCTTGAAAGCGAAATATCTGAAATTAATTAATTTAATTTATATAAAACTTTGTAAACTTTCTAAGATAATGGAATCATTCCAACAGTGGGAATAGTACAATTGGTTACTACGACCATCAGTGATTAAGAATTATTAATGTTGGCTGCCAACCAATCAAGACCCTTTTGTTTCAGAGAGAGAGAGAGAGAGAGAGATAAAGATAAAGGTTAATACCACTAGAGGCAGGTTTGTTCAATTGTAATAACTTACTTCGTAAAGTCCATCACCAGACGTCGCACATGCAGATTGAATGAACCACTTCCTGCGAAGGGCATGTAGGTTGAGCTTGTCTGTAACTTCTGCAACACTCATTGCATTGGGCAAATCTTGTTTGTTGCAGAACACCAACACAATGGCGTCTCTAAGCTCATCCTCGTTCAACATCTTTTGAAGCTCGTCACAGCCCTCTTGGATTCTTTCTCTGTCATTTGAATCGACGACGAATATCAGTCCTTGAGTGTTTTGGAAGTAGTGACGCCACAACGGTCTAATCTTGTCCTGTCCACCAACGTCCCAAACTGTAAAGTTGATGTTCTTGTACTCCACTATTGACAAGGAGGAGGAGGAGGGTTGAGATGATCAATGAGTCAGGTCCCTCAATTAACAACAAACAAGGTTTTCTTACCTGATTCTACATTGAAACCAATTGTTGGGATTGTTGTAACGATCTCACCAAGCTTCAGTTTGTACAGAATAGTTGTTTTACCTGTGATAATAATGATGATGATGATGATGAGAAGGATACATGAACTCTTGAGTGTTACTTTATGATCATCATGATGAATGCCAACATCTCATCCCTAATGTATTCCTGGGAGGAATCAACAACAAAAGCTTACCAGCGGCATCTAGACCAACCATCAAGATCCTAATATCCTTCTTTGAGAATAGAGTTGAAAGTAATCTACTAATGCTAAGTCCCATTGTTATAGTATTTGTTATGTGTGATTGAACTGTGACGATGAATGAACTGCGAGATTGCTGATGAAGGGATAAAAACATACACACCCACACGACGTTGTGCTTGCTGACTGGGCACTCTTGATACTGATTGGACTTGTCGTAGCTACGACCTAATTTATTTATCCATGTTGTTCAATATATCTTTAAGGTTGAAATCACCATCATCCCGACTGGCTGACTTTGATTTCAACCCTGTTGGCTCCATTGAGAACTCATGTTCCATCTTTAGGTCTTTGCGCTTATATTGAGTCTTGGTCACCTTGTGGAACAATACTCTGGCTTCCTCTGGGATGTCTGAGGCTTCAAGTAGGTGACTCTCGTCGCCCAAAGCCTCGCCAAGCTCCATGTCAAACTCGTCCTTGTCATGTGCCAATTCGTCCAGCTTCTCGTTGATCTCATCTTGGTCAAACTCGTCTACTTCTCCTTCCTGGTTGCCATCGAATGTTCTGAATATTGGGGCAAACTCTGGATCGTTTCTCAACTCTTGCTCTGTCAAGTTATGCTCTGCCATGAACTCATCGATATCGTTTCGCCAGTCGTTGTCCATCTCTTTGTCAAACAATTTCATACGCTCCTCTACAGCATTTGAAACTCGTTTGTAGTGTTTCCTCCTTATATCTTCAACCTCTCTTATTCTCCTCTGTTCAAAATGGTCGTAGGATATCCACGAAGACGGTCCTTGATATGCATGGAAACTTTAACGATGATTATAATGGTCAGTCAGTATACATCCATCACCAAATAATGACTCTATCTTGTCACTCAAACATACTCAATCTCTATCTGTCTTAGAGTCCTAAGTACTTCGTTGTTATAATCTTGCCACTCTGGAAGCTCTACTATCAGCTCATGTATACGTTCGTCATGCTTTCTTTCGGTATTGAGTTCTTATCGAGACAATGGATGACGATGTTTTGTTTAGAATCAGCTCATATATACATTGGATATAGTCAGCACCACCAAAGCTACTTACCATCAATCATTAGTCTGTACATTAGTTCCTCATTCTCTGTGTTGCCAATCATTGTTTGCATTGTCGAGTCCATTAGGCTCAATTGCTCGCCTTCTTTATCCTTGTGCTGTTCCACAGCTGACTTTGGAACTGTAGGTGATTTTCCACTAAGCTCTGACTCTTGACGTTGCAAGTTCTCTGACAACAACAACTGTTGATTATCATCCTCAATGTCGTCATTTTCTTGCTGCCTCTTCTGCTCCTTCGATGATATAGACTTCTTGAACAACGAGTCTTTTCTTGCACGAGATGATGGTTTGAGAGTGATTGGAGATTGTCCACCCATTGTCATGCCACCAGCACCTCTCTTTGACAAGATTGACATATATCTGACAGGTGATGATGATGATGATTGATGTGAGAAGCCAATGATATTAAATAAAGAACTTCTGCCTCTATTGAGGCAGCCACTGCTTGACAGTATCGATCGAATCATTGTTATTAATATTATTATTTGTATTGTTGTAATAATAATCTGGCGACGAATAATCTCAAAAAAACGTCAATCACACCATATCTTTGGCTAACGACTTTCATTTATTCAACAAACAGCTGGTGACAATCTAAATACAATAATGGACGCACTTCAATTACAATCATTAGACAAGGACACTCTGATTGATATTATCCTTAAACAACAACAACAACAACAACAACAACAACAACAACAACAATCTATAAACACAAAGTCACAACCTCCACCAAAGACCAAAGATAAGAAGAGAAAGGCAAACGAATTGGATCTTGACAAATGCTATCGGAGGTATATTGCTTTAAAGGTGGCATATCTTGGATGGGACTATCATGGATTTGCTGCTCAAGTATGCACAGAGGACACTATTGAAGGCCATCTTTTCAGAGCACTTCAAAAGACTTGCTTGATCAATGATATCAAGACCTGCAACTACTCAAAGTAATTATCTGCTTACAGTAGTCCTTCAGGGATTCAAAGTAACTGACAGAGGACGGTTGTTCACTAATGATCTAAACAGATCAGGAAGGACTGACAAGGGTGTTTCAGCATATGGACAAGTGATTTCACTCTATGTACGATCCAATATGGTTGACGGTGTAGGAGTTATACCTCCATTGTGTCTGGATGAGGAAGATCTAGCAAGGAGACGATCAAACCAGCAAAAGAACAAGAAACCATCCGAGGAATTCCCATACGTCAAGATGCTGAATGGAGTATTGCCAGCTCACATCCGCGTGCTGGCTTGGACTCCTGTGCCTTTCCACTTTAACGCCCGCTTTAGCACACTGTATCGAACATACAAGTACTTCTTCAGCCCCTCAAATCTGGACCTTGGACTGATGAGTCAAGCCAGCAAGCTCTACATTGGAGAGTACGACTATCGAAACTTTTGCAAGGTAAAGACTGGAGGACCATTCAATTCAATTCAAGAGATAATCTCATCTCCTAACACAATGTTAATTATCATATAACTAGATGGACATAGAGAGTGTAAAGTCATTCATCAGAGTGATACTCTCATTCGAAATTGAACCAATGAGGAATGCCGATGGTACTCTGTCCTCGTAAGTGTCAGATATTTGTTACACACTAATACGATATTCTAACAAATGAATGTTATTGCATTGATGTTACTAGTGAATTGTATGTTGCAACAATCAGCGGATATGCCTTCCTTTGGCATCAAATCAGATGTATGATGGCAATGTTATTCCTTGTCGGTCAAAAGAAGTATCCAGTCACAGTAAGTGTTCTCTATTCAAAACTTGTTGTTTACATCTCTTGCTAATCTCTCACTACTATTACTACTACTAGATCATATCTGATCTCCTGGATCTGTCAAAGGGAATAAGCAAGCCTCAATACGAGATGGCATCAGAGACACCACTGGTCCTCTTTGACTGTGGATATGAAGACTTGGACTTTATATATGACCAAGGTATATATATATATAGTTTGTTGATGTACAATTATGATTACTACACTAACTGACCATCACTTTATCCAACAAAACTAGACTCTTACCAAAAGGTCATAAATACCATGACAACAATATTGAATGAGCACCACATCAAGACATCAGTCACAAGACTAATGCTTAACGATCTTGGAACCACTGCCATAAATTAGAGAGAGATGATTGCCGTACATCCACCTTAATAATTGACCACTCTTTATTGAGTGTTCGATCCCTTCTTTGATTGCTTATTAATGGTGATCATATCAAGCACAGTCTTTAGTTCGTTGATCACAACCTTCTCTGGAATCTAGTGGAAGTAGTGGTTGTAGACAGCATGTCAATACTTGTTATTCCAATCGCTTTGACCGAAAACTTACAATCGAGGCAGCCTCTGAACGAATGGATGTCGCCTTTTTCTTCTTCTTCTCTTGGATTTGGTCATAGAGTGGATCATAGACGGTCCTTTTTGGTGGCGGATGGAGTCTTGGTTGGTTGGGCATTGGCAGTGGGGGTGGGGGTGGTGGAGGTTGGGGTGGTCCTGAATGTGCGCCATCCTCAGGACATACGTCCAGAATTGGTTGTGACTCCAATGCTATAGACGGACTCTCCTCCAATGGACCTGTATATGCCTCAAAGGTATATTCGTCTTGCAGCTGTGTCGTGGCCAACAATTCATCGCTGATTGATCGATCAGTGGAATCAGGCTGCTCTGTGTGATCATTGTATTCCTCATCATGAGATGAGTTGGCCTTTAACGATTCCAATAGAGTTTGGATCCTCTGCAATGCTTCTTGTTCAGTAATATTGAGAGCTTTCATACTCTTATCCAGAGGTATCGAATGTATCACTCTAATAAGTGCTCTTTTTGCCATCTCCCAATGTTTGATAGCATTGGCCAGCTCATTGCCAATTGAGAGGGAGTCAGCAGCAACATCATCCAGTGCTACCAAATCCAACCATGTGTCGTCCAGACTATCGTCGTCGTCGCCACCTTCATTATTGGTGTCAGTACTTCTACTCTTGTCCAAGCTAGACAGTCTACTGTTGATCCTGGCCAATGAAGGATTGACAACATTGTTGATCGAGTCGATTATGTGATTGTTTGAGGAAAGGAAAGTTTGAAGAGATGTCTTTTTGGTTCTATTGAGTATTATCCTCTTTGGAGTCCCTATTATTCACTCTATGGTGTTAGTAGCTTATTAGATGTGAGCCAACAATCATCGTGTCAACATACTATTCTCCCATATTTCATTGGACAGAATGTTCTTCATCAAAGATTCCTTTTGCTTGATCACTTTCAGTACACTGCTGAATGACAACGCCATTGTTTGGTTGAGTGACAGGGAAATGTTGAGCATATCAGATACTCTACGCAAGCCATTGTTGGTGGATTGTGGCTGCTGTTGCTCCTCCGCAATGATCATAATGAGTATGGTGAAATAGTTTGATACAATTAGATGATATTCCTGTAGCATCTGCTTGATGGTAATAATGGATAGCTGACTGTCTCGCTCCATTTGTGCTGTTGTGATCTCACTATCATCATCATCATCATCATCATCATCATCATCATCATCATCATCATCATCATCATCATCATCATCATCATCATCATGGGCAATCAGTGTAGATGAGAATAAGTCAGAGAGACTACTCTTGAGGTAATGATTCTTTAGGACAGCATCCACTTGATGACGAGTTGATATTTCATCCAACTGATTCTTGATATGTTGAGCAGATGATCGGATGAGATTGGTCAGCGTTGCTCTAATGACATATGTCTTTTCTGATTTTTTCTTGTCCAACTCTATTCTCTCTATTGGTATCAGTGGTGATGAACTGTTGTTGATTGATTTATTACTATTAGTACAATTCAATGGATGCTACTCTCAATCCATCTGATATATAATACATACAATCGGTAACCTTTGGACACAAGCTCCACCTCTCTGATATACTGAATTGACTTTAAAATGATGTCATTGTTGGTGTCGATTGAGTCTAGTAGTAGCTTGAGCTGTTTAACATTGTCATGATGCTGAACAGTGATTTGATTTAACTTGGAGTCTATCGATATCCTGTCCAATGATAGGTGTGTGAGAAACGGCAGTAGGAAGGCCAACAGTGTGAATAGAATATTGCCTATTGTGGATGAATCATTGAGAATAAATATTGTAAATGCCAATAGGATTGACAAGCAGATTGGAAGGATATGTTCAATTGTGAGTGCATCTTGGAGTAATAGCCATCTTGTTATCTTTTGTTGTTGATAGAGTGGTGGAGGAGGAGGTGTTGTGGTGAATGGAGAGATGTCATTCTTGATGGATAGTATAAGAGGTAGTGATGATAATGCTGTTGTAATAAGGTCATTATTGAGATAAGGACATTCTGATGGGTGAAGAATGTCTGATTGGAATATCGTCGATATAATCTGGTTGGTGTGTGATCCAAGTGTCGACTGAACGTAACCAAGTAATCGTGATGATGATGAGTGTTGATATTCTTTTTGTTCTTGTTGTTGTAGTTGATTAACAATACTATTGTTATTATTATTAATTGTAGTATTAGATGTTGATTCTTGAGTATGGTCGTGAAGATCAAAGTCTACAGTCTCTCCTTGCAGGTGATTGAATAGTTGGATGGCTTCAGTGTTTGATGTGTCATTCGATAATGCTGGTATGAATGATGTTGATCGATTGGATATTAGTTAGAAGATACCACCACCGACAACAATAACAGCATACATACATTGTAGGTACTGTTCCAAAGGGTCTCCTTTAAACACTACATCATTAATATCTCCAACCACTTCCATTCTCTATCTATTTATCTGTTGTTGTTGAACTAAAAAGACGAAGAAACCACTTTGTTCTTTGTTTTTTCAGTGTTTTTACCAACACAAAGATATATAAATTGAATAAGGTCTCAAATCAGATCATTTAATTAAAGAGATAAAAAAACAGATAAAGATATTGACACATTACTGAATTACAACAGCAGCAACAGCATTCTCAAACAATGTATCGGCAACAACAACAACAACAACAACAACAACTTAATAAGAAGTATCTTGTATTTAATGATAAATCAATATACCTAATTAATAGGACAACAGTAAATTCCTATGCAAGGAAGAACAAGGTTAAAGAGATGGTTGAGACGAATGGTGGAAAAGTTTTATTCTCTCTTCTTCCCTATGGAACTGATTTTGTTGTTGTCATTGATGACCACAATCAGAACGCTTCCATTCATCCAAACCTGTAGGTTCCAGAGAGTTCAAATACCATTCCTTCCCTCTTTCCTTCCCTCCTTACACATCCACTCATACAAACAATCATTTTATATATCACTACAACAGACAATATATCTATGACAAGGCAACAAAGTATAAAGTGCCAATTGTGTCTGACAAATATGTATACGATTCTGTCAGTGCTACCACTCTGAAATCAACAACACCTTATCAGTTCATCCTAGACACCAAAATGGAGGCAGTGGACGACAACACCACAAATATCAGTGAAGAACTGTCATCAAATCTAAACTCTACTGTTCTTGATGATAATGAATCATTCAATGATATGTTCGATCTGTTTAGCAATTTCGATGACCCAGTCACTGTACATGTTGTACCAACCTCCTCTCCAGCTCTCCCTACCCAACCAGAAGCACTTACAGAGGATCCACCAGATATATTTGATATGAATATCGAATCTCCATACCACAAGAATCTGTAAGTAAACTACTACTCATTTACTACCTGTACACTAATACCTCTTGATTAGTGACCACGACATTGGTAATGCATTCATTTTTGGTCATCCATCGGACGGCAGTCTTGAACCTCTCAATCCACCCAACCGAACGAGAGCATTATCAGTCTCACCATCTGGCCTCATGACATATATCAACATGGACAGACAGCTCTATTGTTGGGGAGTGGATGCAAATCGTACTGATCGACCCACTCGTGCTACACCTCACTCAACAAACAATTCCACAGCATTTGTTGATGTGGCATCTACAAAGGACAACATTGTAGCTGTTGACAGCGATGGCCATTGTTGGGAGATCATCATTCAAAGTGTACAAAAAGGAAGAATCAGACTACAGCCACTTGCCGGACTGTCAGTCTCCATTAGAATGGTGTCATGTGGAAAAGAGTTCTGTGCTGCCTTGACAGAGGCTGGAAGAATAGTGACCTGGGGCACTAATGACCTTGGACAACTGGGACGTCACACACCAGTCTCCAGAGTCAAACATCACATCAATAGTGTTGGATACATTGATTCAATGAACAACGTCACCACTGTTTGCTCTGGAGACAACCACACACTGGCCATCAACTCTAGCAACGATGTCTATGGATGGGGATCAAACAACCACCACCAACTATTGGCAGAGAGGATCAAGTATGTAGAATTTTGGAGTTCTTGAAGACCAAGGTGGTAGCTGACTATCAGATATCATCACTTTAGATTCCAAGTCCAACCTACATTGATTCCACACGATGGACAAGGCCAGACACGTCCAATCAAAGTATTCTGCAATGTCAACTATACTATTATCATTAATGGACATGGAGTTCAATCATTTGGATACATTGGAGTCATTGAACCTCGTTTGGAAACATTGAAACAAATGGTATGTTCTATTGTTGGTTGGCTAACCCTCTTTCAGATGAATGACAATAGTAGTGACTAACGCAACCTTATTCGATATGTAACTCCATTAGAATCTCCATCAGCACTTGGATCATTTCGAACTCTTTAAGTACAAGAGTGAGTTTGGTTTCAAGATCATCAACCCTTGCCGTACGGCACATTACTTGATCACGTTGAACAACCCTGAACTCCTACAGGCTCACCTATCAACCGATTTATCATTGCTCTCCAAGGACAATCAAAATGAGCTGATCCATCATGCCATCACACAGAACTCACTCAAGTATGTATACCCTTTATTGGTCCAATAACCGGAGTGTCGACAGTTAGACTAACTGACATATCTCTTTTGTAAAGATCTCTTCAGGTGCTATTTAGACTATTTGATTCGTACGCCAATCCAGAATGTCTGGAGCAGACCAACACCAAGCTCACACCACTCCATTCATCAGTCAGGGCAAAGTCACATGATATACAACGATACCTCCTTGGACAACCACAATTCATTCTCTACATCAATGCCACTGACAGTTCTGGTAACACTCCACTGCACTATGCCGTCCAATCCAATGTAACTATCTTCACTATACAAGTTTATAGGTTCTACTCTTTGAACTCGTTAACTAACCAATGGCTAATCAACACCAACAGTCAACAGAGTCTATGCGATTATTGTTGGAGAAGGGCTGTGACAGGAATGTAAAGAACACTGATGGTCAGGTACCTATATATAGTTTCTGCCACGAGTTAGATCCAGAGATGCTAACACAACGATCAATGCCCACACACACATATATATAGACTTCACTTCATCTAGCTGTAAAGTCTAACAATATATCATTGCCAATGCTATTACTTAGACATGGAGCCCAATCAATGCCAGATAGGTTTATGAAGACTCCACTTCAGTACGCAACAGCACAATGGAAGCCAGCTCTTCAAAAGATCATGTTTGACAACCCCGTATTCCTGTCCTACGCACACAAGGACATCAAGTTTGTCAGAGAGTTACGAGTCGGACTTGAAACCTACTCCATCAGGTGTTGGTTGGATGAGTATAGACTACAGGCTGGTTGTGATTGGCGCGAGGAGATTACCAAAGGCGTTGAGAACGCTCAGGTCATCGTCTACACTGTATCAGAGACATCATCAATATCACTTTGGTGTAGGAAAGAACTAAAGATGGCAAGGAAACTTGGAAAGACTGTAAGAGACACTCCATTTACCCCCCACAATGATGTACATTGTAACTAACCACCAACACCCATTCATGTTCAGATCATTGCTATCTACCTACATGATGTTGAGGTGGACCCAATTCTCAAAGGACTCTTTGACTTTGAACTCAAACCTCATCAATCACCAATGGACTTTGGCTCCATTCCAAGTGAACAATGGCTAGAACATTTTGAACGACTGTCAAAGGTTATCAAGAGTGTTCTTGGTGGAAGTAAGCTCCAAAGAAAGAGACTGGCCCAAATGGTATGTTGGACATTTGACAAACAACACCAACCAACTCATGGAAGTTATGTTAACAATCTTTATTACAGGAGATCAACTCGAACTATCCTCATGGAACTATCTACTTTAGCTTTAGTAACTCTGATCTAAAGCTGTTCAATCTAATCCGAGAGATGTTGTTGCTCAATGGATTACCTGTGATTGACCGAGAGCAAATCTTTGGCAATTTAGATACTATTGTCGCAGATCAAGATACCAAAGGCTCTAGGCCCTCACTGGACACAACCAAGCAATCCAAAAGAGGAATGCGTCTCATTACCAAGTACTCATTCACACAAGACATCTTTGACTTTGAGACTGAGGTTCCCATCATCCAGGTCTACAATGGAGTGTCATCAGATGGAAAGGATGACAACTCATCAACAACAACTACATCATCATCATTGGAGAGTCTACTTATGGCTACACAACATGAATCAGATTTCTTTGCAAAGGGCACCACTAGCAAAGAGGTTGACCAAGTTAGACCATACATCAATAAGTGTCTTTTACATTTGGTCCTCTTCACTGACGATTCAAGTTTGCCTCATGTAAGTTCATTAGAAAGCATCACTACCACCCTTCCACGTGTGTTGGACCAGATTGACTGACCTTAATTACTCATCATCCAAATCAGGTGATGAAAGAGTTGGAGATGGCCAGACAAATGGACAAGCAATTGTTGGTTCTCTCAACCGACATAAGCCACAAGAGGAGGTGTCCAGATATTCTCAAAGGCTTGACGTGGGTCATCATCAATTATCAACAGGAGGAGGAGTTCATTGAGAAGATCATGTTCATGTATGAGCTGCTCTACAGAACCCACACTCTGACCCAAAAGGTGTTGCATAAACTGAAAAGCACTTCATAGGCCTTTCGGGTTGAACTTTGATTGGGTGCAGCGCAGCCCAATAAACACAATAATAGCGGGACGGTGTGGCCTTTCGCAATGATCGTGTGTGGCTGTTGGTTTATCCATAAGACAAGCGCGAATTTGTTATTTTCTATTATTATTTATTTTTTATTATTATCTTGTTGTTCACATCATGTGGATAGTCAGTCTTCTAACTACACTTGTTTGATGGAACAACACTTGATAACAATCTCTATACTACTACTACTACAATAATCATTATTATTTACAACCATGGAAACTATATATATTTGTATTACCTTATTCATTGTTGTAGCAATCTTGTCTGTTATCAACTATCTCAAGAGGGTAGAGACACATGTTCAATGGAGGAACAAGCTAGCCAAATTAGACGTAAAGAACAATGGTGACAATGATGAGATCATTAAACACTTTGTGGGCTACGAGTATCCGTTCGAGATGTTTTTGGCGCTCAACTTTTGTTTCTACCGTACGTTCTGCTCGCCCACGATCGCCAGTGTTTACCGCAAGACAGGCACCATCTACAACACGCCAGACAAGAGAGCCTGTGATACCGATCTCCTGATGCACATTTGGATGGACTATGGACTGGACTCCACTGAGGGCAAGGCCTCCTACGAGCACCTGAACAAAATTCATGGACTTCACTCATCCAAGACCAGAAACGTCGACTTTGTTTTTGTTCTCTGCTGTCTGGTGGTCGATGCCATACAATTCACCAACGACTATGGCTGGAGGAGACCAGAGGAGAAGGAGAAGCAAGCCATGTGGGAGTTCTACCGTCGCGTTGGTCAACGTATGCAGCTGACAAACATCCCAGAGAATCTACAAAAGTGCTACGAGTTTGTCGAGAGCTACACAGAGGATAACCGTCAGGCACGTGTCACAGAGGATGGACAGGTTCTCACCGAGGCCATCACCAAACTTGTTTGCCAATGGTACTACCTGTTGCCAGCATTCGTATGTCGCATGGCTGTCAAAGTTGTCCTTTATCAAATGGGTGCCACCTTCCAGAGGAAGCTTGGACTGAGCAAGCCATCAATTTTTGAAAGCCTCTTGATCAATACTGTATTGATCACCCGCCGATCAATCCTCTGTGTCATTCCTCCACGTTCAGTCCCCTACAAGCTCTCTGACGTCATCATGAACACTGACTATGGATGTCCTGTATCTAAACAAACAATTACAAAGGTTGGTCCTTTGGACATGTTGGCCAAGATACAATAAAATATATAAAGGCATTACAACCAACACAAGTGTCCAAGGTAGTAGTAGTAGGGTCATCTAATGTTTATTTATATGTGTGACGGATAATGTATGTATGTTGACCTCTTTGTTTTAATGTTGGCAAGTAGTGATTGAGTTTACTCCTCATCCTCACCAGAGAGAACTCTAGTGTAGGAGAATGGTGTGAAGAGTACACCAGTTCCTTGGTAGAACTTGTTCTGGAACTCCACCCAATGGAGACGGAGTGCGTGGAGGAAAGCAGAGAGCGACTCCATCATCAGGAGCACTGCAATCGTACCACCCAACCATCCACCAAAGCCAATGAATGCCATGAATGGGTTTCCACCCTCGACCTGTCCGATGAGGATACGCTCCCAGAACACGGTGGACAGCTCAGAGTGAGCAAGCGAGAGAGCCCACAGACGGAGGTATGAGGCAGTGTTGGAGATGGCTCCGAGGACAAACTCGATTGTGTGGATCACTTGATGGACAAACACCTCACCAAACTCGAACACGTCACCGTGGTGACCACCGGCGTCGAGGGCTTCGTCATCATGCTCGTGCTCGTGATGATGTCCAGCGGCCTTGGCGGCAACCTCTTGCTCGTGCATCCTCTTCATGATGAATGGCTTGGGGATGAGCATCACTGGCACAGAGATGAGTGCCAACACGACGAGGATTGGTTGCACAGTAGTTTGTGCGCTGAAATAGGCCTGGCCCTCGGGGATGGCTGCGGTTGGTGTCAAGAACATGCTGATGATGGTTGGGAGAATGGGTGGCATCTGAGGACCATAGTTGTAGCCCCACTTGATCATAATCAGGAAGCACATGTATCCAAAGATCGACCAAAGGAAGATTACTTGTGGAATGAATTGAGTCAAGATGTTGACCCACTTCATAATTCCCTTCATGTGGAGGTAGTTCAACAGTGAGAAGAAGATACCAAGTGACATTTGAGTGACTCCAAAGATGACAGACAGCTTCATCTTGAAGGAGTTGTAGTAGTCCAGCTCGTTGGGTGCACCCTTCCATGCTGGATCAACTCCGAATGGATAGGTTGGTCCGGCAAAGGACATGTAAGTGCTGTTGGGGTCATTAACCCAACCAGAGCCAAAGATGTTCATGGGGATGGAGAAGCACTCGTTGTAGATGAATCCACAATAAATGGAGAAGAGAGACATGAGGAAGAGGACATAACGACCATCGAATGGCATCTGGATGAGCTCGTTCAGCTTCTTGCCAGCGAACTTCTTCTCGAGTCCAATCAATGCTCCAGAGACGGCAAGCATCATGGCACCATGACCGACATCACCAAACATAACTCCAAAGAGGAATGGGAAGGTGACGATGGTAAGAACAGCGGGGTTGACCTCACGGTACTTGGCAACACCGTAGGCATTGACAATCTGCTGGAAGGAGCTGGTGTACTTGTTGGTCTCAAAGTGGGTGGGTGGCTCGTTCTCTGGCTTGATGATGGACAAGACTGATGGGACGATGGCACCGGCACGGGTGGTTGCTGTGCGCAAGGCAGTTTGAATCTCCTCGATGGCAGTCTTTGGACACCATCCCTTGGCAATGAGACACTTTCTTCCGACATCATAGTCAAAGAGGTTCATGGTGTGGTAGATGGCCTTCTCCTTGAGAACCTTGGTTCTCCAGGTGGTGAGCTTGGTGACAATGTTGAGCAACACCTGCTTCTTGTGATCCTTGGAGCGATCCAACACCTCGGTCAGATCGGTGATACGGATGGACACCTTTTGCAACAAGTTGGCACGCTCAGCAGATGTGTCTGGGCAATCATAGACGTTGGCACCGAATGACTCACAGATCTTCTTGATCTTTTGTTGGAGTCTCTCTCCTTGGAAGAATACAATGAATACACTCTTTGATGTATCATCACCCTGAATAAAGTAATATATATATGTTAGTTATAGTGAATCAATGTACATGTACATTACTGCTACATACAGATTGTGGATCAATGATATCCTCCTCGATACGAGAATCACGAACAAAGTTGTTTCCTCTGGTGGTTCTCCACAATGATCTCTGGAACTGGGGCATCTTGTCAGTGTTCATCACACCAGTGATGAAGCCAAGCTTGACACCTTGCTTGCCAGTGTCAACAGCCTCCTCCAAGAGGGGTGAGCGGGCAGACTCGTTCACACCACCCTCACCGAGGTTGGGGTTCTCCTGGAAGAACTCGGCGTCCTTGGTCAGGACGTAACGCAGCTCGATGAGCTCGTTGTAGTTCCTCTGCAAAGTCTCCTGGTTGGAGTTGGCCTGCTTGAGCTCAGACTCGAGCTCATCGAAGCGAGCCTCGAGCTCGTCCATTTGAAGCTGCTCCTCGGTCAATGGGTTGGAGGTGGATGAGGCGTACATGCGAGCCAAACGCTTGTCCTTGAGGATCTGTTCCTCAAAGTACTTGAGCTTGCGCTCCATCTCATCGCAGCGCTTCACCTCATTGACAAAGTATCTCTGGAAGATGTTGAGGTTCTCGTTGTGATCGGTAAACTGAATGAGACCAAGCTTGCCCAACTCGTCCACAGTGTCGTGAGCAGCTTCGATCTGGACAAACAGCTGCACCATATGCATGGGCGCCGATCGCCACATTGGTGATCGAATAAAATCCATTTTGTTGTTTGTCTATTTATATATAAATAAATAAAGAATATGTGTTTGAAATATATAAAATGCGAATACTACTTGAAGTGTGATTAAGTTGACAGCATGCAGTGTTCGATTGAGGATCCACTCATAGTTGCGTGCTGTTGTAGTTGGGAACGTTCTTGACAAGATTTTTTCAAAATAATTTGTGTGCTGTTAGTTTTTCACCTGGTTCTGATCAAAAATAAATATCGTTTACTGGGATGGGAGAGAAAATAATTTTGAAAAGTTTGGCTCGTGTTGAAACTCTGTGCCCAGTGAAACAAAGAGGTGAGGTGCCCAGTTTAGTGAATGTAAATATTGAAGTTCGTTGAAAGTATTGATTATTTCTTACAACCTTTATATTGTTATAGAATGAGCAGAGCTAGAGGATGTTAACTGTTACATGTAGATAGAAAACTAAAGTCAACAGAGTATTATTTTATAATATATCTTTGTGTGTTTGGTATAAATATGTATTATTATAATAATTAACGTTTGGGTAAAGGGCATGTGCTTAATGATCTGTTGGTGATACTTTTTTTTCATTGTTTGTTGGATCATTGTCTATAACTTATCAACATGATGAAGAGTAATAGTACAAGCGGTGTTGGTGGAAGCACTACATCATCTACATCATCATCATCATCATCATCATCGTCTACATCATCAAGACTTGCAGCTCCAGCAAAGCAAGACCTTTCTCCCATCAATGTATGTCTATAACCATTGTGATGTACACATTGATCGATCGATGACTGACATCATTATAACTATATAGTATGACAGTGAAAGAGAGCTACAGAGACAGTTTGAGGACATTGCCAATGAGTTCAAGATGAAGGACTCACGTGATTGGTCATACAGATACAAAGCATTGATACAGCTTCAAAAGATATTGGCTGGCAATGCCATCGAATTCAAGTCATTCATGCCCCAGCTGCGCGCTCTATCACCTGGTCTCGTCGAGCAGGTCACTGAGCTTCGATCAACAATCGTCAAGGAGGCATGCGCTGCCGTCACTCTTGCTGCCACCCGACTGAAGGCTCGATTCGAACCATTGGCCCTTCTCTATGTTCAAGCTTTGCTCAAGGTAGTGATCGTCAAGGTGGCAATCATTGCCGAGGCAGCACACTCCACCCTCAAAGCGATATTGTCTTCAGTGCCTACCAAGGGTCTGTTGGCAAGTATCCTGATAGCGTCGGGTGACCAACACAACGAGTCATTGAGAAGACGAGCGTGTGATTATCTACTCCAGATCCTGGGCAGGGCAATCGAGGAGCCAGGAATGGTGCTCATGTCATCGGTGCCATCTGTTGAGTCATCAATCTCCAAGTTGCTGGTCGACGGTGGCTCTGACATTCGTGTCAATGCACGACTCTGTTTCTGGGCATATCTAGAGCTTTCTGAAGAGCGTGCTCTCGCTATGCTCTACGATTACACGTCCACAACACAGAAGAACTTATTCTCAATGGTCGATACACTGCCACAATCACAGAAGGATCTGGCCACCAAGATACAGCAATCAATATTACAGGAGGATCAAGACCAACTGTTGGTCGGTGAGAGCACAGATCTTGACTTTGATATGAGTGATTTCAAGAAGGAGCCAGTACAATCAACACAGCCAACAACACAGCCAACGACAAGAGCAAAGACTCCGACCAGTTCATCCACCATACCATCAGGCAGACAGTCAGGTCTCAAGGGAAGGGTACCGACAGGCACATCATCCACCACCACCACTTCGTCCACTTCGACGTCATCTATACCACAACGAAGATCAGGATCATCACTTGGAATGACAGCACCATCTATACCAAGAAGCAAGAGCAGTCTAGGAATCAACAAATCAACAGGCAGCAGCAGCAGTAGCACATCATCATCATCACCATCGATCTCATCAAAGGCCTCCTCCAGTAGTCCAAATGTTTCATCGTCCAACCTCTCGGGAAGATACAGTAGCATTGGATCGAGAATATCACAACCGAGTCCAGCCAGCGGCAAGTCCTCACTGGCTCAGACACTAAAAACATCGCAGACAAAAGCAGCGGCCATATCATCATACCAACAGAAGCAACAACAACCACCTCCATCTCTCACCAAGTCAAAGAGCAACCCATCGTTGACATCATCCACCTCATCAACTACCACCACCACCGCATCATCATCGTCAACTGCACCACCCAAACCAATTGGAAGATCAGTATCATCACCAACTACAGGCACCTTGCTCAAGAAGTCTGCTGCAACACCACCATCAACAAGCACGACGACAACTACGACAACTACCACCACCGCGACTTCATTGTCTCGGTCTGCGATCAGCCCTACCTCCAACACAAAGGTACCTGCCTCAACACAACTTTCAAAGAGCACGATTGAGACATCATCAGCATCATCATCATCATCGAGGACTCTGGAAGCACTGACACAGAGAGTAAAAGCATTGAATGATGCTCCACCAACAGCGAAAAAGACCAGTCGAAAGTCAATAGAGATCAATGATGGCAACCAGGTGATTAACGAGGCAGAGTTGTTATTGAACAGGAGTGTTGGCGATATTGGCGATGTGGAGGACCTCATACAGTACAGCAATACGTTGGTAGAGTCATTGGCCAACATCGAGTCTGAGATTGACTCTCTCAATCCAGACTCTAGCCAATTCAAAGAGATCTCTGACGCGTTGGAAGACAATCTGCTCGATGCCAAGAGAGGACTATCATTGATTGACGACGACGTTGGCAATGAGTTGAGATTAGAGGACCTGGAACTCGATGACATTGTCACTGGCGGTGGCGGCAATGGTGCAGATGGAGTGGTGGATATCAGCAGCAATGGTGTCAAACCGATTGGTAGCAACAACAACAACAACAAACGACAGAGCACCAAGCTAAAGAGGAACAATAGCAATGAGAACTTCAATTGGATAGAGGATTCTGTCGACCAAGGATTGATTGAGGATGATCTGTTGGATTTCGACGACGATGACGACCTCATCAACAATGACCGACACAACCTAATTGTTGCTGAGGATTCCAACGAGTTTGGTAAAGCAAACGGTGTTGGTGGTGGTGGTAGTATACTGGATACATTGGAGTCAAGTTAGTTGTATACAACTCATTATTACAATCAATATTGAATGAAATAAATAATTTTATTTTGTACCATAAAAACGTTAGTATTAGTGGAGTTGGTGGGTTATTGAATGAAATTTCGTATGTATTTCGAAATAATGAGTACTCAATTGGTTGGGTTGTTCAATCTGTGAACAAACAACAACTCTTTATTAATTAGACAATATTAATTGTTAATTTAAACTCAATATATATAGTTATAAACAGAGAGATATAGAATATGTCTGTGGCAGATAGCAAGTTCTATGACTTGCTTGGTGTAGCAAGTAATGCATCAGAGTCAGAAATTAAGAAAGCATACAGAAAGGTATGTTATTAATAAAGATATAGAAGAAAAAGAAGTCTTTACTTTATCCATCATAACCTAATTACCTCGCTCACTCTTCTCTCTATCAAATGAACAACAACAGTTGGCGATAAAGTATCATCCAGATAAGAACCCAGACCCTGCGGCAGGTGAGAAATTCAAAGAGATAACAGTTGCCTATGAGGTGCTGTCCGACAAGGAGAAGAGGGAGATCTATGACAAGTTTGGTGAGGAAGGCCTCAAAGAAGGTGGTGCTGGTGGTTTCGGCGCAGGCATCTTTGACTTCTTTGGCTTTGGAGGAGGACAAAGACGTCGTGGTCCCAAGAAAGGTGAAACAATTCAACATGCTCTCAAGGTCAGTCTGGAGGACTTGTATAAAGGAAAGGTATCGAAACTCTCCCTAAAGAAGAGTGCTAAATGTCCCGAATGCGATGGGTATGTATTGTACCTAGTTAGAGTCAGCTGATGAGTAAATACTAACATGACAATTTTATAGCAAGGGAGCAAAGTCAGCAAACGCAATCAAGAAGTGTGATGATTGTGGAGGACAGGGAGCAAAGACTCAGCTCAGACAGATTGGACCAGGAATGGTACAACAGGTCAGAGTACCTTGCCAGACTTGCAAAGGTGAGGGACAAGTCATCAGTGAGAAGGACAAGTGTACAAAGTGCAAGGGCAACAGAAGCATACCTGAGGAAAAGGTATTAAAGGTCAACATTGACAGAGGAATGAGACATATGCAAAAGATAGTCTTCCAGGACGAGGGCGACTTTGAGTCACCCGATGTTATCCCAGGTGATGTTGTGGTGATCTTGCAACAGAAGGAGCATCCAGTGTTCACAAGAGATGGAGATGATCTGATCATGGAGCAACACATCACTCTTTTGGAGGCACTGACAGGATTCACTTTCTACATCAAGCATCTGGACGATCGTGTTCTCACCGTAACCAATCCACCATCAAAGGTGATCAAACCCAACGATATCAAGTGTATTCACAATGAAGGAATGCCCAAACCAAAGACTATGGACAAAGGAAGACTCATTGTCAAGTTCATCGTTGACTTTCCAAGTGATGGCCAGATCACACCAGAGAGTGCCAAACTACTGGAAAAGGTATTGCCAAAGCCCAAGCCAGTCACCAAACCAACCAGCCACGATGGAATTGATGAGGATGTTACACTCTCTGATTTCGACCTAAACTCCAGAGATAAGCGTGGCGGTGGACGAGGTGAGTCATATGATGACGATGATGAGGATGGTCATCCACAGGGTGTATCTTGCCAACAACAATAAATCATTGTGTATATAAATATCAATCATATGATACAACTTTATTGGTCTTCCTCCTCTTCCTCTTCCTCCACTTGTTGTTGTTGTTGTTTTTCAGTAGCAGCAGCGTTATCAACATAGATGCTAGATGGTTGATAGATATTCTTCTCCTTCTTCTTCAGAACAATGTCGTGTTGTATTTCAAACACCTCTGCAATCTGATCCACTACGGTGAAACGAACATTGAGTGTATCGATACAGAACCTGTGCTTCTCTGGTGTCAAGTCCTCTTCATCAGACAACTTCTCCACAGTGTCCTTGGTCAAGTCATGAATCTTATCGCTCTTTCTCTTTCTGATCGAGCGAATGTCCTCAATGAGCACCTGCATGATGGCCAGTCTAATGTCATCAAAGTTGTCATAGAACTTGAGTATCTTCTTGTTGACCAATGCCTGTAGCTGTTCGTCTGCCTCTGGTAGGATGCGCACTTCCTTCAGTGGAGGCACGGTTGGAGTGAGTGTCCAAGCTGGGTTGATAGCCTCCTCCACACTGTCGTAATGCTTGATGTATGGCTTGACGTCCAATATAGGTGTTCCATCAATCAAGTCGATGCAAGAGAGGTACAAACAGCTGCCTTCGACCTTGTCAATCTTGGCCACACTGAGACCAATGGCATTTGGACGATGTGGAGTTCTCGTTGAGAACAGTCCAACACGGACACCATCCAACTTTGGTGGCTTGACCTTTGCCTTGACCATGCTGCCTGGTCTGTCCTGTCTGACACCACGCAGAGTGTTTGTGTTCTCATGGAAGACAAAGATCAACCAACAATGACTGTACTGATCGAGACCCTCGAGGGCATGTGCAGGGTTGATGTTTGTTCGTAGCTTAAGGATGGCTCTACCCTTGGTGACAAAGGCACCCTGTCTCGGTGTTCCATTTCGTTCTCTGAAGCAGCACTCCAAGAAACCAATTGGAGGATAATCAGGTGGTCTCTCTTGATGTGAGTTCTGACGGTCCTCCTTTAGGTCATTGAGGACTCTACGCAACTCTCTCTCTGCTCTTGTTCTGCCCAGTCTCTGTTCCTCACACTTCTTTTGCTCATGTATCTTTGCCTGCTTCTCCTTCTCGAGTCTATCCTTTAGCAATCTCAACTTGTCCTGTAAGTTAAAGATGAAATAGTAAGCGATTGCTGTTGTAATTACAATAGGTGTTGTAATTAACAACAATTTCTCCTTTGATATCATTATCTTGTTGTTGTTGTATTTGTAATAGTATATATGTATGTATCTTTAAAAAATGGTCGGCAATTATGAACAAACTTAAGGTGTTTCGTTCGTTTTTCTCACAACAATCTAGATCTAACGTACACGTGTTTATTCAAAATGACACAGAGCCACATGTGATCATACACTGTCTTCTTGCTGTTTGCAACATGGTTTCGTATTAAGTTTACAATTGGCTGTCATCACCAAACCTAGATAGAATGATTATTATTATAACATTAGTATCTGGATCAATCAAAATACATAACATTATACATACAGTCTCTGTTCCTCCTCGTTACCAGTGACGGCCTGCTGCTGGTTGCCTGTAATCTTTGGCCAATACGAGTATGCAATCAGTGCTGTAAATACATTGTTCAATGTATTAAAGTACATAACAGAGAGTGCCGTTGGATTGAGTGGTCCAAATGTGCCTGCAAAGATTCCAATGATCACTGAGAACACATAGATCGAGATGGGTGCCGATGTGAATACAAACTTGGGAATCAAGTATCTCTTGCCAGAGACTATGGGTGCTGTTATTACCACTAACATCGATATCCAGAGCAGTATAGCAATGAATATAGTGGACACAAAGTAGAACAGTACCTGAATACCATTGACTGCCAGAGCTGGTCCTAATACTGGATCCTTCCTATCGCGGAGACTACATTATAACAAAGAAAGTTAGTTAATGGGACGGTCATCATCAAGTCAAATGTTTGATTATACATACTTGATCCAAGTGAAAAGAGCGATACCCAATGCTCCAAATGTTCCAATGACAGCCAACTTTAGGATGTATCCTGGACCCATGCCTGGTTGTGTGTATTCCAATCTCATCTTGTCCAAGATTGTCATTGAGTACAAAGAAAAGACACACAGGAACACGATGGAGAAAACAGAGTTGAGGAATGGGAAGAACCATCCAGATACAATGTACTGGAATCCAAAGAAGGGGTCTGAGATAGGTGGGTAATGAGTAGTAGGTGTTAGGTAAGGCTATCAATATAAAGTCATACTATACATACTGTTTGAGAGTACCAGTGCAATCAAAAGAATAAAGAGGAACTTTTGCTCAAAGGTCCACAAGCTGAGTGAAAGCGTACGCATGGCGTAGAGATAGAAAATGACCAGGCCACTGGATAACACCATGTAGGTCAAGTGGATGGCGATCTCGAACGAGGAGAACTTCTCATGAGCACGCCACACTGAGTAGACAATGTCACCAATGATATTGTCGTTGGGGTTGAGCAGAGACACCTGAACGATGTAGAACTCATTCTCCAACACCTGTTGGTCAATGAGTGTAAAGGTGGTGCATGCGCCATTGCCAGCGGGACACTCGATCAACATTGTTGTGGTTGTGTTAGTCAACAATGATGACTCTCCTCCGTATATCTGTACGGACAACTGTAAGTTGTAGATGGTATTGTTGACCAAGTTGTTGCTGTATGGCGTCAGTTGTACTGCCCAGAATCTAGTCAGCTGAGTGATTCCATCGATCTCTTGAATCCAAATTGCACCTGGCTATATATTAGTTTGTTTGTATATTAGTTTATATGCACATAAACCACGACAATATCATGTTTGGAGACAACAACTAGCTCCAGAGTCTGGCATAATGATTACCTGTGATGGTTGAAATCCGATACAAGCAGGTGGAGGACTCCAAACATGTGAGCCATTTTGACAGTTGTATGCAGAGTATGATTGACTGTCGTAGACTCTTGGTCCAGTGGCACCGACAATGATAGCAATCACCATCAGCACACCAGCAGTGACGGCCACTGCAATCATATGCTTTATAGGTGCCACTTCAATCTGTGTTGTTGCATTAACCATTTTCTAATGTGATGATAATGATGTATGTAGTGTATATATATCTCTCTATCACTAATATAAATGAAGAGTGATAGATGTCAAGACAAGAAGAATAGAAGGAAGAATTGGGTTGGTTGTTTTTTTTCAAACCAAACAATCTTGTTACATTGTTGCCAAACAAACTTTGACACCCATTTTCTAACCAACTCAGGGAGAGACACATTACTTTCTCTTTATTCTTTCTCTCTATCTCTTTATTATACAATGTATATCTCTCTCCTGATTACCTCACTCACTCACTAATCTTGTCTGGGTGATTGTCTCACCAGGTATCAAACCAACAACGCCTGGTGATTTGAACTTCTTGCTTCCCCAGAGTTGGTGCACATCAAACAATTTTAATTTTTTTTAATCACTTTCCCCTGGTTTCCCCCATCTACCCACCACTGGACACCACTCTTGCTTGTCACTCACTCACTCTGACTCTCTCGTTATTGTTGATGACAGTTTATTTTCACACTATCTTACTACATATAAACATTTATTATTATTATTACTTATATCTATAACTATATAATCACATCTAACTGCTGCTACATTTAAATTTGTTGCAGTAATCAATAGTTTGATTTGTAGTAATAATATATATATATATATAAGAATGGACTTTTCATTCATTCAATCACCGCTATGGAGGTCAGCTCCAATGCAAAAGGTGCAGTTGTTTGTCCAAATCGAAGCAGCACACGACACAATCGACGAGCTCGGAAAGATTGGTCTCATTCAGTTCCAGGATCACAATGCCAACGTCAACATCTTCCAGAGATACTTTGTCAATGAGGTCAAGCGCTGCGAGGATATGGAGCGTAGACTCAAGTTCTTTGAAGAGCAGATCAAGAAGGACAAGCGTTTGAACCGCATGCTGAACGAATCTCTCGAGAAGAGTCTCACCAATGGCTTTGAGATGCAACTCGAGGAGATGGAGACAAACTTTGACGAGCTAGAGATGCGCATTGGTGAGCTGGAGGACGAGCTCAAGCAGGTCAACACCAATCAAGAGACACTACAGAGGAACTACAACGAGTTGGTAGAGTTCCGTCACGTCCTGACAAAGGACGCCATCTTCTTCCAGGAGAATCACAATCTGGGCGACCCACAGCGTGATCACACTGCCACCAGTCCACTGCTGAGAGAGGACGTCATCTCGGATGCCACCACCAGCAAGATTGGTGTCAAGTTGGGCTTTGTCACTGGTGTGATGAACACTGACAAGATTACACAGTTCCAACGTTCACTATGGAGAGTCACCAGAGGTAACAACTTTGTTCGTGATGCTCTTATCGAGGATGAAATCATTGATCCACAATCTGTATGTATAATTATAATACTTATGTCATCATCATATTAATACTAACATTACATCAATATAGGGAGAGGATACATCAAAGACAGTGTTCATTGTATTCTTCCAAGGAGAGAGATTGGAACAAAAGATCAAGAAGGTCTGTGAGTCATTCGGTGCCAATCTCTATGATTGCCCAGATACTTCATTCGAGCGTGCCAACTTGTTGCAAAAGGTGTCCACTCGTATCACCGATCTGACCGAGGTGTTGGATCGCTCCAAGGATCACAAGAAGCAGGTGCTGCTCAACATTGTCACCAAGATTGTCAGATGGAGAACAAAGGTCATCAAGGAGAAGGCCATCTACCACACCATGAACCTCTTTGACTATGATGTGGGAAGGAAGTGTCTCATTGGTCAAGGCTGGACTCCAAAGACTGCCATCGATGAGATCCAGGTGGCTTTGCGAACTGCCACCACAAGGTCAGGCGCATTGGTTCCCTCTGTGCTCTCGATCATTGCCTCACATGATGAGCCACCTTCACACTTTGAGACCAACAAGTTCACCAGCTCCTTCCAACAGATCGTCAATGCCTACGGTGTTGCCAAGTACCGTGAGGTCAACCCCGCTGTCATGACCATCATCACCTTCCCATTCCTCTTTGGAATCATGTTTGGTGACGTTGGTCACGGCATAATGATGCTTGCCGTCTCTGGAGCACTGATTGGACTGGAGAAGAAGTTCGCCGGCAAGAAGTTGAACGAGCTCATCCAGATGCCATACGACGGTCGTTATGTCCTCTTCCTCATGTCTCTCTTCTCCATTTACTGTGGATTCATCTACAACGAGTGCTTCGCCATCCCCATGAACATCTTTGGCTCTGGTTGGGTTCGTGATCCCAACAGCACTTACATGGCCTTTACCGGACAAACCTATCCATTCGGAGTTGATCCAGCATGGAAGGGTGCACCCAACGAGCTGGACTACTACAACTCCTTCAAGATGAAGCTGTCTGTCATCTTTGGAGTCTCCCAAATGTCACTTGGAATCATCTTCTCACTGTTGAACTATCTCAACATGAAGGGCAAGATGAAGTGGGTCAACATCTTGACTCAATTCATTCCACAAGTGATCTTCCTGTGGTCTGTCTTTGGATACATGTGCTTCCTCATCTTGATCAAATGGGGCTACAACTATGGTCCTCAGATGCCACCCATTCTCCCAACCATCATCAACATGTTCCTGTCACCAGGCTCATCGATCCCCGAGAAAGATTTGTACTTTAGCGCACAACCAGTTGTGCAACCGATCCTCGTCGTGTTGGCACTCATCTCTGTGCCAGTGATGCTCATCCCCAAGCCACTCATCATGAAGAAGATGCACGAGGAAGAGGTTGCCGCCAAGGCCGCTGGACATCACCACGAGGAGGAGTATGACGACGAAGCCCTCGACGCCGGTGGTCACCACGGTGACGTGTTCGAGTTTGGTGAGGTGTTTGTCCATCAAGTGATCCACACAATCGAGTTTGTCCTTGGAGCCATCTCCAACACTGCCTCATACCTCCGACTGTGGGCTCTCTCGCTTGCTCACTCTGAGCTGTCCACCGTGTTCTGGGAGCGTATCCTCATTCAACAAATTGAGGGAGGCAACGCATTCATGGCATTCATTGGCTTTGGTGGATGGTTGGGTGGCACGATTGCAGTGCTCCTGATGATGGAGTCGCTCTCTGCCTTCCTCCACGCACTCCGTCTCCATTGGGTGGAGTTCCAGAACAAGTTCTATCTTGGTACTGGTGTGCTCTTCACACCATTCTCCTACACTAGAGTTCTCTCTGGTGAGGACGACGATTAATCAATCAATCAATCAATCATATAATACCACAACTCCCAATCCTATACAACAACAAATAAAGTAGTGGAACAACTCACAACATAACGTTTGTTACCAATATCCATTAGTGTCAGCTGACTTTATGTTCAATGTTGTTGTCTCAAGTCATAGTCAACAGCGTGATTCTTAAGTTCAAAGTAAAGCTTCCTTGAGTAATATACCTCATTGCCTGTTGTTGATTGAATGAGTTGGTTAGAAAGTGGATCTTTGTGTTGTTGTGGACCTAATAGTATTTACATACACGCCAACTCTATTTGATTATGTGACAGATCCTTTGTTGTTGCCCAATTAGAAATGGACTCTGTCTTTGTTCGGTATATATTAACTCCACAGAACTTGGCAACTATATGATGTAGTCTGTTTGGTTGCATTCTCAACACTACTGGATCATATTGGATGTCTGATATATTATCCACCTGTGATGATGATGACCATAAACGTTAGATATGTTGGTTGTTGATGGAATGACGTGATTGACAACTTACGAATACATCAAAGTTTGCTTTGATCCTGTTTGCATCCTTTGATACACCATAACCAACCTTCAATATCCTATCGCTCTGAAGTAACTGTCTTAGTGATCCATCCAATCCACAATGACATATTCTAAACAATACCAGCTCTCTGAATTAGGTGGATGGATGGATGGATGGAATGGATGGTGTAAGTCTAAATGTGTCGGACCTTGTTATTGAACTCTTAATAAGAATATACATTACTTTCCATTAGTCATTTGTATTAGACTAACTTTTGGATCCTCGTTCAACAGGAACTTTCTAAGGGCAGGCCACTCACAGTCCATGCCAATCACAATGTCATCGTCGACAGTGACATCATTGGGCAACTTGCCATTCAACAGTCGACGAACAGCAGCATCCACTTCCTCTGCTTCATTGATAATGATCACTGGTAGGTTCAGGGTGTCTTGCCACTCGACCGCACCCTTGGGCAGTTGCTCGATGCTCTCCTCATTGAGTTCATACATTGGCTGTAGAGTGGACTTGAGCAGACGAACGTTGAACAATGTGCCATTGTGTACAGAGAGACGTTGATAGAGCTGTGTGCACGTGTCTGCACTGTCAAACTGGATATAGTAGGCTGGTGCTCGCTTGATACTGGTGAATGGTCTCATATTGATCGATGTGCAGTGTTGTTTGAACAATGTTGGCTCCATCTTGGCAATGGCATTAAGGTCCACTTGGTCATTTGGACCTAGAGCATCGAATCGCAGAGTGTTGGTATTCTTATTGGTCTTGATGTCAAACTCTTTGATCGTTATGATCTTGTTGATATCAATGATGTTGTCATTGCTGCTGTCACTACTACTACTACTACTATTGGTTGTACTATTATTACGAATGATTTGATAGTATGGTGGTAATGAACTACTGCTCTGCGTCACTCTAGGTGCAACAAGATACGTTGTTGTGGTGGATGTTGGTTGTCGCAGCTGTTGTTGTTGTTGTGAATGTATACCATATCTTAGATAAGTATTGGTACGTCGTACTATAGAGGAGCTGATCAATCTATACATTGATTGATTGGTATCTAGTTGTTGTTGTTGAAGTTATCGAAAGGGATAGAGAGCTCTGATAATGAGCGTATCTGACGTCAATGCAATAACGAGAAACACGATAAAACGTTACTTTCAAATGAATCAAAACCCCAGGTTCAGATCAAACAAGATCTAACTCTTTTGTTTGAACAAACTATCAATCAACATTATAAATATCAGATAAAGATAATAATATTAGTAATATTAAAATATTTAGGCAGGGCATATGACCACTGCTCAATCAATTGTAGGATCCACTATGGATGGTCTGAACAAGGTCACATCAAGTATACCTCTCAAGTTCAAGTTTGACGTTACACAGATCAAGTCAAAGATCGATGAGGTGAACAACGCCACAAAGAGTGCCTTCTCTGCACTCACCGGTGTCACATACAGCAACACAAAGCCAAAGAAGTCAAAGTACTACTATCAGTTAAAGACTGTAAGTGTGTTAGTTGTTGCTTGTATAGTTTAGTAACTGAATGAACGACTTACACGATACCGCCACACCAATAGGACACAGCACCATCGTTGACAGAGAATGAGTTCACAGGTATCATACCAGATGGCTTCTTTGATCAGAAGTTTGATACTACTCGCTATCTGCTTGATCTACTGCCTCCAAACGATGCAGACTTGCAACAATTCTTGGATCAACATACGACAAAGTTCACACAGTCTATGGATTACATCAACTCCAAGCTACACAACAAGGTTAGGAAGAACTATACAGAGTTTGGTATGTTAGTTGTTTGTTGTTGTTGTTGATCAATCATGATGTCACAGTGACTAACACTCTCTTCAATGATGTCACTCACTACAGTGGAGGGAATGTCACAGATTCATGAGATTGGTGTAGAGTTGCAAAAGAGCACTGTAATGTGTGCTAATGGAAGGAGGACACTGGGCAACACCAAGAACAATCTCAACAGGACAGCCTTTAGCATTATGGCCAAGTATCGCAAGAGAAGCGTCTATCAGAAGGTGCTGAGCGATCTCATCCTGATCAAGGAGATCGTGCATCGTGAGCGATTGATCAAACAGTACCTAAGCGATGGCGACTATCCAAACACAATCACAGAGTACCATCAGTGCAGAGACATTGCTCAACGATGTCAGCAATACTCTTGTGTACCCGAGCTGGGCAGGAACCTCGTGGAGATATACAACGTACTAAATGAGCGTGTCGACAAGGACTTTTTCAATTGCTGTCGCACATTCTCTGCCACCACCTACCGATCAGTGTTCCAGGCCTACAAGATGCTGAATCGCACCAACCTCCTTCTCGAGAAGCTTGAGGTCTACTTTGTCAAGCCCATCGTACCAGAGACTAGAAACATTGTCTACTCTCATGTACTCCTCTCTGAAAGGGCCGCCATGAATCCAGAGGTATTCAAAGGGTATGTACTATTAAGAAGTAGTAGTTGTTACCAATCACTCATTCACTAACAACAACACCTAAACAAACACATATAGTGTTGAATACAAGGACCTCTGCAAATCAGTGATGGATGAACACTTTGTCAACTGTCTTTTGGTAGTATTCCAGTATCTCTCTGATGTCATGACCAGTCTCTATCTCATGAACCAGTACCACGTCGAGAACCCAGAGTATGTTGCCTCTACAACAACAGTCTCCATTTCTTTCACATCATATACTAACACACCTTAGTCGCGAGGAGAGCAACGTCTTTGCCGACGTCAGTTCAGCATTGACTAGATTCAAAAAGACCATCTGGGACACGATGCAGAAGCAGGTAACAGCTCTACTAGCACCTCGCAAGCTCACAACATTCAAGATTGATGACTTCTTGCTGGTGTTGAACTCGGTCACAAAGATCAGTGAGATTGGCAAGGAGTTTAGCGGTGAGCCAGCACATCATCTCATCAGCTCCATCAACGATCAGTCAAAGTCCTTCTTTGATCACTTCCACAAGACCCGCATTGATGATCTCAAGACGATGCTCGAGCACGAGACCTGGACCAACATTCCAGTGTCCTCCAACTTTAACGCGGCCACTGAGCTCAGACTGGACAAACTCAACATGTCCAACGATATTGAGAGATTGACTGGCGAACAGATATTCCATTCAATCAGAGACAATGGAAATCCATTCTCTCAGTTGATATCATACAAGAACAAGAGAGCTACAACATCATCACCAACACTCCAACCAGTCAATCAGCAATCGAGCAACAACACCAATGAGGACAAGAGTGATGACGAGGATGAGGCACTCAAGCAGGAGTTTGTCGAGGAGGATGATGAGGACACTGCAAAGCGTAGACAACAACAACAACTACTGATGCAACAGAAGAAGGAAGATGCAAGAGTGGTACTGGTGTCCTCAACAACCATAGCCTTTGTTCGCTACATTGGCAAATACCTAGATATGATGAAGCAATTGCCTCATATCTCTTACGACATTTTCATTGCCGTTTGTCAACTTGTAGAATACTACGTATGTATTGATCTCAAGTACGTATATCAACATTTAACTAACATACAAACATACATATAGATGTACACTATTTATTCATTCTCACTCTATCAGGATCCAACAGGATTTGGTCTGGAGGCATTGACAACAAAGATGGAAAAGACATTGTCGTCTGGTCAACAGATTGAGGACCTATCATTCACCAAGCCAGCACTGAACAACTTTATCAACAAGATGAAGGAAAGACTTGGCATCCCCATCATTTCACAGGCAATGATGAGCAGCATATCAAACATCTCTCCTCTGGCCTCCCTATCCACTCAGTTCTCACACTTTAATCAATCGCTCAAGGCAATGACCAATGAGATCATCAGCAACAACACCTCACCACAGTTACAATCCAACAATGCCAACAACAACAACAACAACACTGATCCAAACGCACCAAAGTGGATCATACCAAAGATCAATCCAATGCTCAGACTTGGTGACCCAGCACTTCTATTCAATCTCCCTGTCCGTGTATTGGCGATAGAGACACTCTCCTTTGTAGTCAGCGCACTTGAGGCGTCCAGACCAGTGTTTGAGAGCGTGCTTGGCAAACACATCGATCACATCAAGACATTCTTTGTCAAGGTGGTGGGCATCATTCCCGACCTTCAGCGCCACCTCGTCAAGAGTGCAGTGTCTGCGGTGTTCTCACATCAACTGGGCAACAACTACTTCTCCAACGCCATTGCCAATCAGAAGTGGGACTTCAAGGCAGCCACAGCAAACAACTCTCCATACGTCAATGAGTTTGTTCCCGAGTGGAAGAAGTTCTTCAAGAACCTGGACGATTGCATCAAGAGCAGCGACTTTATAACCAAACCAATCAGAGACAGCATAGTGGATGCCAGCTTTGAGTTCTTTGTCCAACAGTTGGTGGATGGCTACAGTCGCATCAAGAAGTGCTCTGTTGAGGGTCGTTCAATGATGATCCAGGACCTGTTGTTGATGCAGGCCAATCTTGAGAAGCTGGCCAAGAGGAAGATACCAAACATTGCCTATGCAGAGCACTATATCAAGGGCTACTATCAATTCGCAGTGCTCTCTGATCAGGACATCATCAACTGGGCCACTGAGCACGAGGAGTATCCAATCAAACACGTGATCAACCTGTTACTGTTGGCCAAAGGCAGTAAACCAGCACTACAGCAACAGCTTGAAGAGTTGGACAGGAAGAGAAGGAGGTAGAACAATAACAGTCACACACACTCACACACACACACACATTCATATCAACATCATTATCATTCCAGCAGCACATTACAACTATTTAGTAAAGGAATGTCAATGGCTGGTTGACCAAACCTCGAATTTAACCAAAGTGGAAGGGGCACACACAAAACTCCAAAGGTCTTTGTTTGGACCATTTGTGGAGGGGGGTGATCATGTGGTGATAGAGTTGTTTTACTCAAAAGTTAGTCATCTGATTCGATCACCACTGTTGTCAGCACACACCTCCTCATCTTAGTTCACTGATCAGGCATCGACAATCTTTAACCATCAATCAATAATCAACATCAATAGAAAGAGACAACAATCATCATGTGTGTATGTTTAAGGTGGCATGTACCATCGGGTGTTCAACATATTGGCACGTCCAATCAGAAGCCTAAACATGTTTAGAGAGTCAAGAACAAGCGTGATGGATGGATGGATGGATGGATGTATCCAGAGTATAAAGTATTGCACAATAGTAAACAGTTAACAACAGAGTAATAGTAATAGTAGTATTGTATAGTTAAATATCATTGATTGTTTGTTCGATAGAGAATGAACTCACAACAACAACAACTCAATGATCGCAGTGTTGGTGTAAATGACACTGGTGGTGATGCTGTTGTTCACCATTCATCATCATCATCTGACCATGATGACTCTGACGACTATGAAGTATACAGTGACACAACCAGCAATCATAATCATGACATTGAAAGTCCACCAATAATCAATAATAACAACAACAGCTTTATTCCAAGGGGAAGCACAATGGTCACCAATGAATATGGTGACATTCAAATTCATGTACCACCTCACGTACCCAACAGCTTCATAACGCCAGTGTCAACCAATCCATACGGTACCAACCATGGCCATGGCCTCTTGAACTACCACAACAACAACCATCACTTGTCCGGAACACCCTCCTCATTTGCCAACGATATGACACCAACAGCGTTTCATCATCAACAACTAAGTCGTCAAGGATCAATGGGTCTGGGTGCCTCATCCGTGCATCACCACCATCCATCTACTGATCCAGCAGCACCAACTGACCACGATCCAGCGGCACCAGCGGCGATAGTGATTGAAGATCCAAAGAAGGAAGAGAGAAGAAAGAAGAAGAAACAAGCTATAGATGAAGCACAGTCCGTGCCATTTATGCAGTTGTTCCGTTTCTCGGACGGTTACGACAAGGCGCTGATGTTGCTTGGCACCCTCGCCGCGATGGCCAATGGTGCGGCACTTCCATGTGTTACAATCATCTTTGGACACCTGATCGATGCATTCAATCCCCAAAAGTTCAACGATGATCCAACCTACAGCATCCAAGGTGCAATCACAGAGATCAGCATATGGTTCCTCTATCTTGGTGGAATGATCCTGGTGTTGTCCTATCTCGAGACCACATTATGGACGTTGGCCGGTGAACGACAAATCAATAGAGCACGTGTGGAGTATCTATCTTCCATCCTCCGTCAAGAGATCGGTTGGTTTGATACCAACAAGGCAAATGAGCTAGCTTCAAGAATCAATTCGTATGTTTATTCTTAATCCAATCTATCATATGTCCAAGTCATCTAACATACTCACAACATCAATCACACAACAGTGATACTATCCTATTCCAAGATGCTATTGGTGAAAAGGTCGGACATTTCATTCACCATCTGACAACATTCTTCACGGGCTTTGCCATTGGATTCACCAATGGATGGCAGTTGACTCTAGTAATCCTAAGTGTATCACCATTGTTGGCAATTGGCGGTGGATTTATGGCAAAGATGATGACAGAGATGACAAAGAAAGGTCAAGAAGCCTACTCTATTGCTGGTGGCATTGCAGAGGAGAGCATCAGCAGCATCAGGACCGTTGTAACATTCAGTGGCGAGTCCAAGGTTGCTCAAAGATACTCTGACTCCCTGAAAGAGGCCAGGTCCGTTGGATACAAACGAGCACTGTTTAATGGCATCGGTCTTGGCTTTGTTCAGTTCGTCATTCTGAGCACCTACGCACTTGCCTTCTGGTACGGTAGCACGTTGGTCTCAAAGAAAACCACCAACAACTTGACCGATCGACCCTGGACCGGTGGTGATGTCGTTACAGTCTTCTTTGGAGTGATCATTGGCGCCACAGCCATTGGTCAAGCGTCGCCACTGTTGTCATCATTCTCCAACGGTCGAGGAGCAGCCTACAAGATCTTCCAGGTGATCGACAGAGTGAGCAAAGCAAACCCTTTCTCAACTCGTGGCAAGAGACTGGATCACCTCACTGGTGAGATCGAGTTTAGGAACGTCTCATTCGCCTATCCCTCCAGACCTGATGCACCCGTCTTCCAAGACTTCAATCTGGCCATTAAGCCCGGTCAGACCATTGGACTCGTTGGTGACAGTGGCGGTGGAAAGTCGACAGTGATCTCACTGCTCGAGAGGTTCTACGACCCACTCGGTGGCCAGATACTGATCGACGGTGAAGACATAAAGAAGCTCAACGTTAGGTCACTGCGATCAAAGATCGGTCTGGTCAGTCAGGAGCCTGTCCTGTTTGCAACCTCTATCGCCGAGAACATTCGCTATGGTAAAGAGGATGCCACCCAGGAGGAGATAGAGGCCGCTGCAAGACAAGCCAATGCACACTCATTCATCGTTAATCTACCACAGGGATACAACACCATGGTGGGAGAGAAAGGTGTTCAGATGTCTGGTGGACAGAAGCAGAGGATTGCCATTGCTCGAGCCATCATCAAGAATCCAAACATCCTACTATTGGACGAGGCCACCAGTGCACTGGACAGTGAGAACGAGAGGATAGTTCAAGAGGCAATTGACATACTCATGAAGGGAAGGACATCAATCCTCATCGCGCACAGACTGTCCACTATTAGACATGCCGATGTGATAGTCTACGTCAAGGGTGGCCAGGTAGTAGAGCGTGGCAGTCACGAGGAACTCATCAGACTTCAGGGACACTACTACGGTCTTGTCGAGAGACAGAGTCAACAACAACAACTGATGACAGAGTCCAGCAAGGTAAAGAGAAACAGTACTCTCACTGACATTCACCCATATCTCGAGAGCTTCAGAGTGTCAAAGAGGAACGTACATGCCAGGGACAGACAACGCGACCGTACCACCAAAACTAAGAAGAAGACCAAGAAGCAAAAGAAGGATGTCCCATTCTCACGAGTGCTCAAGCAAAGCAGTGATGACATGTGGCTATTCCTCTTTGGCTTCCTGTCGGCCGTAGGCACTGGTGCCATCTATCCAGTCTTCTCCATTGTGTTTGCCCGCATGTTGACCATCCTGCAGAACCCTGATCCCAACTACATCACCACACAGGCCGACTTCTTCTCGATCATGTTCACAGTCCTGGCCATTGGCAGTGCCGTCAGCAACTTCTTCCAAACATTCCTATTTGGAGTGATTGGTGAGAAGCTTACCTACAAGTTGCGCAGTGAGAGCTTCAAGACCATCATCAGACAGAACATTGGTTGGTTCGACCTGTCCGAGCACTCAACTGGCAAGCTTACTACCCATCTGGCAAGCGACGCGTCGTTGGTCCAAGGAATGACAAGCCAGCGTTTGGGTATCATGCTTCAGAACTTCCTCACCATCATTGGTGGTTTGATCATTGCCCTGTACTCTGGATGGAAGCTCACACTCGTCATCATTGCCACCGTGCCGTTGATCGTCATCACTGGCAAGCTGCAGATGAAGTTCTTGAAGGGTTTCAGCTCAGACGATGGTGATGGAACTGGCGCCGCTGGACAGGTTGCAAGCGAAGCAATCACTGGTATCAGAACGGTTGCGTCGTTCACAACAGAGAACCAAGTGTTGGACCTGTACAAGAAGCAACTAAAGATCCCCATTGCCAAGGGCCAGAAGAAGGCACACATAGCCGGTATATCATTTGGCGTCTCCAACTTCATCCTCTACGGTGTCTACTGTCTGTCCTTCTGGTATGGCTCTGTACTTGTTGGACAGAGAGAATGGCCGGCATCAGCACAAGAAGTGTCGGACAACTGTAACGCCCAAACAATACCCGCAGTGTGGAAGGACATGGAGACATGTACGCGAGCCATCGACATGTTGTCTGGATTCTCACAGTTGATCAGAGTGTTCTTTGCCATTGTGCTGTCGGCCATTGGTGTAGGTCAGACATCATCATTCGCTCCTGATCTGGCCAAGGCACAAGTGGCGGCCAATGAAATATTCCACCTCCTTGACCAGCAGTCGTCCATTGATGGAACCAACCCCGCCGGTGACACCATACCCATCGTCACTGGAGACATTGTAATGAAGAACATCGACTTTGCCTATCCTTCAAGACCGAACCAGATGGTGTTCCAAGGTTTCAATCTCAACATTCAGAGCGGAACGAGGATCGCATTGGTTGGTGACAGCGGAGGTGGCAAGTCCACTGTTATCTCATTGCTGGAACGATTCTACGATCCGCTGCAGGGCGAGATATTCATCGACGGCTACGACATACGACAGCTCAACATCAAGCACCTGCGATCATTGTTTGGTTTGGTCGGACAGGAGCCAGTGCTGTTCTCTGGCACCATTGCAGAGAACATTGCCTATGGTCACTCGGAGGCGACACAGGAAGAGATCGAGAGAGCGGCACGCTCTGCCAACGCCCACGACTTTATCATCAACTTCCCCGACAGGTACAACACACAGATTGGTGATAAGTTCACACAGTTGTCGGGTGGACAGAAGCAGCGTATCGCTATTGCCAGAGCCATACTTCGCAATCCAAAGATACTTCTGTTGGATGAGGCAACCAGTGCACTCGATGCCGAGTCTGAGAAGCTGGTCCAGGATGCTTTGGAGAACATTATGAAGGGAAGGACGACTCTGATCATTGCGCACAGACTCACGACCATACAGAATGCTGATTGCATTGCCTTTGTCAGGTCTGGTAAAATATTCGAGAAGGGAACGCATCAAGAGTTGTTGGAGAAAGGTGTTCATTACTCCCAGCTCATTTCAAGACAACTGTCGTAGTCATATTAAACATTGCTGTTTGATTTATTGACAACGGTGTACCTGATTTTTGTGGCCAGTTTTGTATCGATTTGGGGAGTCACCAAGGGAGGAAGGGTCTCTTCTTTGTCGTGTCCCTTAGTTGGTATGATGCTGTGCACTGTATCATAGAAATCAGAATCCTTATATCTTGTAAATAACTCAAGAGCATTGAGGAAAGTATTGAAGGAAGTATCTATCTTCACCATCTTTGATTCATACAATGGCAATGTCTTGTGAAATCGAACGACCCAAGCCTCTGCCACTCTCTCTCCAGTGATTTCCTCCAGTGCCTTTGCATACGCAGACACTTGAAGTGCATACTCATTGCCAATGAAGCTGCTTGTTTTCCAATCCAGGGCCACCAGACTACCGTCCTTCTTGCGACCGACAGCATCGATTGCACCTGCATAGCCATACTTTTTGGACCAAACGACAGTGTCTCGTCTCTCCATAGTGATACCAGAGTCTCGCTTCCATTGTTCAAATGCTTGCTTGATGTGTGCGACATCATCCGACACTTCAAAGTCATCGCCAAAGATTGCATTGTCGATCATTGTGTGAGCCTTTGTGCCGAATGATGCAGCCTCTGTCTTGACTGAGGTGGGCTTGCTCTTTGCTTGAGTGAGCATGTTATCAAGCCACTCTTTCTCTGCCTCGACAGATTCGAAGCCATTAGGTGGACGTGTCTTGATGTATGTGTCTTTGATTGATTGAATGATGAGATTACGCTCCCATGCACCAATAGCTGGTTTGTTGATTATCTGCAATATTGATGTAACTGATGGGAATAGCCTGTCGGGGTGTTCAGGTATCTGATAGTATCTCTGTCCGCATTGTACTACTCTCTTAATGTTCTCAATAAATGGTCCTTTCATTGTATATATGTGTCAATGGTTGAGTGTTATTATTTATTGATCGCTCTTGGGGCGATAAGTTTGTATTTGTGGTTTAGAAGAGAATAAGAATAATGAAGAGTGTAGACATAGCCAAGCAGGATGCTATTTTTGCGGAGGAGTTGATTTGGATAACAAATAGAGACTCTATATATGATAGTTAGATTATATCGCTAGGTAGTTCATTTCAATTCTACCTACCCTTAATTGAAAAGTGCCAAGTGTCTTCGATTGTTCTTTTAGGGCAATTGTCGATTGTAGATACTGTCACAATACAATCAACACTTCCTGCTAAGACTCTACTTATGGAAAGTTTGATTAGTCTCTTAAGGAGATCGAATATTAATAATAACTTACCTCTTTGGAGTTAGTTCAACTGTCGCAACAGATTGATCTGGTCTATAGGAAGTTACTTGGTGTCCATCAATTGGGAAGTCAACAATATCCTGGGTACAATTGACTATTATCTCCCACATCCTTTCTCCTGTGCTATTCATGTTGATAAGCACTACTGCTCTGGAGGGTTGAACAAAGGACTTTGTTGATAAGTTACCACTGGAACCAATGGAAGGATCGGGGACCTTGATTGAATCTGACACTGGAGGATCTATTCCATTGTTAATTTATGAATTTAAAAGAATAATCATCGATACAATACCTTGGTTACATAACGGATGAAGATTTCCTCCAATCAATGAGAACAATAACTCTTGATATGAACTCTTCATGTTTGAAGACCAGAGTGGTTTCCCAATGATATCAAAATGAGCTCTACAGTACCCTAATTGAGTCTGAATCTCTGGAATCTTACGGTAGGCAACTTGGTGATTGAGAGTATGATTCTTTAGTCTCGTTAGTGGATATTATTTAAAGGTTGTGGAAAATGACGTACTCTCATAAACCCAAGAGTTTGGACATAGTCGTAGTTACTAACGTTGCAATAGAGACGAACCAAAATATCAGAGTCATCCTAAAATATTTGGCATTAATATATATATATATATATAGACAAGGATATCTACTAACCTTTCCATTGTTTAGAGCAGAGAGAGACACAGTGAGATGGGTTTGGTTCTCTGAAATTGCAATTGAAGACTCACCAATCATAGCCTCTCCAAAAGTGATCATTGGCATATCAATGAGAATCTCCAAAGAAGAATTCTCTCCTCCTCTCAGTATTGAAAGTGTCCTACCTATCTCGTCAAAAGATATTCTCTCTTGTGAATTATTACCAATAATTCGATCTATTTGATTGATTAATATTAACTTATCTATTAGGAAAAATTATAATTGTACTAACCATTAATTGTAGAATGTATGATCTTGTTAAGGGGAGTTGAGAATTGATCAATGTTCGAACATGATCCCATTGAGGAACTACAACGACCTGGTTCGTTGTAGAAGTCCAAATATGATTGCCATAGGCTCAAACATCCCTTAGTGCCATTGATAGTAGAGAATATAAACTCCGCAGAACTGTTGAACTTGTTTGGAATTAAGACTGTCAATTGTTTGAGATCAATTGGGAGAATGGGCTCTCTAGAAAAACTGGTTAATAATTAATAAATACCAACCTACTATATAGAACATACTCTTTTAACTTCACAGCAATTGGACCATTTGTAAGAGAGGGGTTGTAAGTTATGGATGTTTGAGTATCTGGTGGTTGGTTAGTATTCAGATTATATATTTAAAGATTTCATTTATATTTACCATTGATTTTCACAACTACTTTAAGGTCGTTTGAACTAGAATGGTTTCCAAAGTTGTACACTGAGTACCAACGTCCAAAAGATGAAACTCTAAATTATTTGACTTATCAATATTAGTTCATTCTATTTGATTTAGATGTTACATACCTATGTCTATATTGGTCACAAAAAGGGCAATACCCATCTCGTTTGTCTTGGATGGAACAGTTGTAACCTCTATTCTCGTTTGGTACCTTCCACCAGAACTATGTTTTGAGATAGGGATGTTAGTTAGATTATGAACAAGACACATATAATCCGAAATACTACTAATTACCTGTCCATCCCAATAGAATTGAATAATAGTTGAAGAGTCGGAGGAAGGGCTGAAAACTACATGGTAGACATTGATATGTGACTCAATATACGGGGAGTATGAGTTATAAGGTATTCTAGGGCTCTCTATGAATGATTATCCAGTTAGTATAAATACTAAGAATGAATTGTATTATTAACTTACGAGATTGGATCAAATAGGCTTGAGAATAATATCCATTCATATAAACATCAAACTCGGAGTTGGTCGAAAGGATGGGATCTCCAGCTAAGATATCAGACTCCCCAACTATTTCCACCAATGGCCTCACTGTTCCATTTGATACAAGACTCCAAGTTATCTTTTTATCTAATATATATATTGTAAGTAAATAATGAAAGAGTTTAAAGTTTTTTAAAAAAAAACTTACCAGGATTGATTATTTGAATAGATAAAGATGAAATCGAGTAAACATATCCATTATAATTGATAGTTGAACCATCAAGGACATAAGTATCTCCAATTCCTGAGCTAAAAATATCAAATGTCACCTTGAGCTTTAATAGTGTTTAAATTAGAATTTGTGGAAGATAACAGAGATTGAATACATACTTTAATAGTCTCACCAATCTTGACCATTGAAATGTCAGACAATTTGGATTTCATCCTTTCATCCTCCCAAGAAAGATTAGTGTTAAGGGATATTTGATCAACACTGGTCACAATTGGTTTAGGATCGAACAGAAATTGAGTATCATTTCGAGTTACCAAAAGTGGGGACTGGAGAGGGTATCCCTCCCCAATTTGGTTGTAGAAGCTATAACCTCTAATGAACATATAATAGTTATTGGAGAATCTATATATATTATTAGTACTTAATATTTCTACCCAAATATGGATATTAATACCTTTGTTGAGTGTCCAAGATAAATGTAAGATCTGTACTTGTGACAGAGTCTAACATAGGAATGATAACACTACCATCATCAGTCTTGAAATAAACAGACTGAGTATTATTGATCCAATCTCCAATGTCCAAGCTCCCACCCTCAATCGAATTCAATACATTGTTTGAATAAATGAAGGTATCATTTGGGAACCTAACTGTGAAGATAGTGCTCGGACCATTGACCTTGATCGTTGATGAAGGCAGAACCTTAACTGGGTATTGATTGCAATTTGTAAATAAAATTAAATTTAAGATAATAAAAAGAGATAATAGTTTATCCATTTTGTAAGTGATGAAATAAAAGAATGAATCAAACACATGATCAGATATAATACACCACCAACTTGCAAAAAAAAGCACACAGCCAGTTTGCAAAACAATCCATTAAACCTCATGAGGTTTTTACTCTCGTCAGTTCAATCATCCATATCTTTCAAACACTTTAACTTGATCAACAATTTATTACAAATAGTAACATCAATGGACACTCATATGACAGACCAACCAACGGATATCTTTGAGTTTCATGATTATTGGAACAATGAGATAAACCAAATTAACTTGGAAAGGAGACAGAGAAATCTTAAAGAAGAGACCCCTAACTCAAAGGATACCTACTTCCAACCAGCAAGGAAGAGAAACCAACTACCTGTTCCCCAAGAACATGCAGGTTATACTTATCTCTCAACCCAAGAGGGCAAACCTAGAATGACAACTCAAGAAGAGAAGTCGTTCATGCTTGAGAAGGTTCATATTGGCGAGACAGACTTAAAGAAGTCTAAGGAGTGGGCTGGAAACCAAGCAAAGGATGACCGCTCCTTTTCCAAGGTGATCGTGATTAAGAGTGCCTTCAAACAACACCAACCACAATAAACTGTGTGGCTTGGACTACAATAAATAGTCCATCTGAAATCACACCACATTATACTTTCTACGCTCATGCTATTTGATTACAAAGAGATATCGTCACCATTAGACGACCCAGTTTCAAATGACTTTGGACAACACAGAGCAACGCCCATCATCATTGACAATGGAACATATCAATGCAGAGCAGGCTATGCAAGCGATCACAAACCAAGATGTATGATCATCATACATACCACTACATTAACAAACACTGATACGTCCAACATCATGATCATACAGTGATATTCAAGTCATTGGTTGGTAAGGTCAAGTCTAACTCTCAACCTATCGTTGGTAACTCAATCAAGGAGAGTGATATCACAAAGCTCACCGTTCGAAGTCCATTCGACACCAACATCTTAGTACATCCACCAAGTCAAGTATGATCTAGTTTGTATCATGCCTTCAATCGTCATAACCAACTGACACTCATTCACTCATTCATCGTTATACATAGGAAGCCATATATGATTACATCTTTGATAGATTGGGCGCAGACTCTGCCATTGAGAATCCCATTGTCGTTACTGAACCACCAGCAAACCCATCATATTGTCGCAAATGTAACAACAACATTGAGTCATGTTGCAGTGATATAGGACATCACACTGACACTCAACAACACCTTACATATATGAATGTGAATAGACACGAGCGAAATGATGTTTGAAGGCTATAATGTCCGATCACTGGCTTATGGAGTGGACTCACTGTTTGCCTTCTATTCAAATAGACAACACCTGGACCACATGGGAAGGAATGCGTTGATCATTGGAGCTGGTCACTCTGCAACTCATATTTACAATGTACAGAATGACTCTATCCAACACTACCAGACGCGTCGAATCAATGTTGGCAGTTCACTTGCTACAGAGTACCTCAAAAGACTGTTACATCTCAAGTATCCACAGCATAAGTCATACTTTACACAGAACTACACCAACGTACGTTATCATTGGTCACTGATATGATTGCCTGATTTTATTTGATGTCTTCTAACGATGTGCATTATCGAATATACAGGAGCTCAAGGACAAGCATGTCATGTTTGCCCAAGGTGACTATATGTCCAAACTCAAAGACTTTGAAGATCAACCAAGTGCCGATGACAACACTCACATCATTCAACTTCCGTTCCAAGAAGTAGACCTAAACAAGCTAGAGGAGGACAAGCAAAGGAAACTTGAGAACAAAAGAAAGATGGGTCAGATGGCGAGAGAGAAGGCAGAGCAGAAGAGGAAGGATAAGTTGGTGGAGAATGAGGAGCATTTGGCAACGCTGGAATCTATTCTTGCTCTTAAACAGGAGAGCTCCACTGAGTTTACAAGCGCACTAGAGGCAGAGGCAATGAGTGAGAAGGAGCTATTGAAGCAAATCGATGAGGTACGAGAGAGACTTGGTTTGAAGAGGGAACCAGCACCAGAAAAGAGCAATGTGGAGGAATTCCCTCTGCTTTTCATCCCCGACGATCAATTAAGCGCTGAACAACTGAAGGAAAAGCGCAGGCAGAAGCATCTCAAGGTCCTCAAAGATTCAAGGAACTCTGCCAAACGGAAGAGAGATGAGGAGCGAGAGAGGGAGGAGCTGGTCATCAAGAAAGAGGAAGAAGCATGGGAGAAAGACCCAGACAGATATTTGAAGGATCTTCATCAACGTCGCAAGGTTATCATGGATCGTAAAGAACAGAGAGAGAGGAATAAGACAAAGGTCATCAGACGGCAGTCCAAGTTGCGAGCCATCATCAGCACTGCTGATACGCCAGAGAATGATCCTGAGGAACAGGAGGACAACCAGCAGCTGATCGCCGTTGAGAAATGGCTAAACAAATTCGATCCAGGATGGAATATTGTGCAAGAGGCTGAAGACCCTCTCGCAGAGTTTATGACAGCCAGAGACTATCAAGTCAGACTGGATGTAGAGAGGTTCCGAGTGCCAGAGATCTTGTTTCAACCAAAAGCAATCATTGGCGTGGATGAGATGGGACTGATGGAGACAGTCAACATGATGCTCTCTCAGATCTCTGACAAGGACCTGCAGAACAGTGTGGCAAAGAACATCTTTGTCACTGGTGGCATGAGTCTGGTCAATGGCTTTGTTGAGCGACTCTCCTTTGAGATGACCCAGATCAGACCCGTGGGTTCCATATTCAACATCCACAGAAGTGGTGACAAGTTGCTGGACGCGTGGCAGGGTGCAAGGAAATGGGCCAATGATCATCACAAGCAATGGAGTCAAGTGTCTGTATCACGTGCAGAGTATCTAGAGAATGGACATGACTATATCAAGGAGCACCAAGCATCAAATCTATCCATATTCGAAATTGTATCTAAATAGAGAATAAATATATATCAGTTTATTCCCTCATTGTGTTGAGCATCTCATAGTCGCCGCTTCTTGCTGCTGCTCGTCGAACACGCATCCTCCTTCCAAACAGATAGCCTATGAACACGAGACAGGCTGCTCCTAGTATATATACAACTGTGGTCATGCTGATGACTTTGGGGTTTATGTTAATAAGACTGACTGACTGACTATTGTCCACCTCTTTACATACATGTGGTAGAGTTTTCATACGGGTTCTCCTCGCTCTGGTGATCAAAGCCTCCTGTGGAGTTACCCATTGTGGTAGCATTTGTTGTGTTAGTTGTTGCTGTGTTGGTTGTTGATGGGTTTGTTGATGCTGTTGAAGCTGTTGATGCTGTTGATGCTGTTGATGCTGGCGTTGTGGTACTAGCTGTTGATGCTGTAGATGCTGTTGATGCTGTAGATGCTGTTGAAGCTGTTGATGCTGTTGATGCTGGCGTTGTGGTGCTAGCTGTTGATGAGCCAGATGTTGCGGTGTTACCTGTTGTTGGTTCTGTGGTTGTTGAGCCAGATGCTGTGGTGCTGCCAGTTGTTATCGAGCCAGATGTTGTGGTGTTGCCAGTTGTTGTCGAGCCAGATGTTGTGGTGTTGCCAGTTGTCGAGCCAGATGTGGTGTTACCTGTTGTTGATGGCTCTGTGGTTGTTGAGCCAGATGTTGTGGTGTTGCCAGTTGTCGAGCCAGATGTTGTGGTGTTACCTGTTGTTGATGTGCCAGAAGTTGTGGTGTTACCTGTTGTTGATGGCTCTGTGGTTGTTGAGCCAGATGTTTTCTCATTAGAGGAATCGTCCTCATTTATAAATAGTAATGAAAGTTTAATAGTAGATATAGATATTTGATCATCTGCAATGCATAAGAGTACAAATGATGATAGTAAAGAAAAAAGAATCAATATTGATAATAGTCTCATACTGTTATAATATGTATTTGTTGTGTTGATGTGTAAAGGGAAATGATGGTAATACAATAGCTAACTGACTGATCTAAAATACTATTTTATTGCGACGTGTTAAATGCGAATCTGGATAATGAAAAATAAAAATCATCATTTTACTGCCAGTTATTTGCTTTATTCAATAATATGTCTTATCTAAACAAAAGAACAATACACAGATATATTGGATGGATAGTTGTAGTACCTCTGTTTACCACTGCAACAACAGGCTTCCTTTATAAGCTGTTAGATATTTGTGGATCGCAACATGACTCAATCAAAGTACTATTATCTGTACACCAGATGTCCATCCTATTCAACAACAGTCAAGTCGTCTATACATCCCTTCTGATGCTCTTGTCATTGATGCTCATATACTTTGGCTACTCTATGTTGTCATACTCATTCTTGGGAAACAATGACTACTCAAATAACAGTATTAGCTCTGACTCGACCACCAAACAACAGTCTCATCTGTTGAATCACGATGAGCAACAGCAATCATTTCTTCAAGCAACCAAAACAAGATTGTTAAATAGTTTAGCAGGTCGATATATTCGAGCATTGATCAACTCTTCATCACCAAGAGAGCTTCACCATCGTCTATCTGGCTTGTTCTTCATCATCCTAGCATACATGTCCACTACAGGCGCAGTCTATCGATTCCTTAGGAATGTGGCTGGTGTTCCAAAGGATCGAATACATTGGATGATGCAGATGCACTCAATGGACTTCCTTCCGCCGTTTATATCCTTTCTTTGGATCACATTGGTGTATTTATCAATGGCCTCTCTCATATTCTCAGGTCTGAGAATGTTGTTCAAGACTCGTAGGAGTAACAACAGCAGAAGATCATCCAATAGTGATCGATTATCTCGCAAGGGTGCATCATCACTGACATTCCAACGATTGCCATCCATTGGCAGTCCTATTAATAATAATGTCATTATTGACAATGAGTGACTATGAAACAAACTTGTATTAATGTTTAAGCTTTTCATTTAATTATCTTTCTTCTTTGACTCCTTGGATGGCTTGGTTCTTGGCTTTGGCTTACCATCAGAGGTTGGGAACCTCTGAAGCACATTCTTGAGGATGAGCACAAACACAGTCACAATGATGAAGGCACCAATGCTCTGACTCGATGGGATCAGACGGTAGATGAATGGAATCTCTGACAACTTCTCGATTGACACGACAGTGACTTCAAAGAGCAAGTTGGCCTTTGGTGGGATGGCATTTGGGATACCGCTCTCGCCATAGGCAAGCTGGTATGGGATCCTGATCTCTCTCTTCTCACCCATGCACATTCCCTGTACACCTCTCTCCCAACCTATTGATAGATTGATTAGTAATGGTCATTAGGGCGTCGCTTACTCCAAACAAGTGGTCAATACATACCTGGGATGACCTTTCCTTCACCAAGAGTGAATTCGAAGGGCTGTCCTCCATGCTTCTCACTGGCATCGAATATAGTTCCATCCTCTAGCTTTCCAACGTAGAGAACAGATGCTTTGTCTCCAATTGCCAATGAACTGGTTGTGCACTCACCACCTGGGATTATCTGCACAGAATAGATAGTTCAACGACGTCGATATATTAGCACTCTTACAGTGTAGTGGGTAAACACCAACTGTGCTGTCAACATACCGAGCTAATGATCTCAACATCCTGTGCGGCAACAAATGAAATGGTCAACAAGGTGACCAACAACAAGGCAGATACTTTAAGCATGCTTATTAGTATATTATCTTTAATCTCTCTTTTGTAAACAACAAACAATGAAATGTCTGTCTATGTTTGTTCTTTAGAGTTGTTGGGTTGGTGAAGTACGCATCTATATATTTTATTTAATTTTTAGATGTTTTGTTAGTCAAAGATATTCAAGACCGCTGGTACATGTACTTCATCGTTGAATGATAATTATGATTATTATTACAAAAGTCTTTATTGACATGTGTGGATTGCATTGGCAATGGTTAATATGAATCTGTCACACGATTAATGTCGTGTCGGGGGATACTGAATATATTTAAATGTTAGGAGAAGTGCTTGGTATCATATGCGTAGTGTTGTATCGCTTGTGAGTTGGTGTCTGTGATTGGATGAACTCTGTCTAGTGGCCATCATGTCTGGGGGAGCTCTCTGGTGATTGATTCTGAGGACTTGGTGTCTTGAGTGGCTTCTGTGTTGCAGGTGATGCTGCCTGCTTTGCTTGCTGCTTCTCAACCTTTTCCTTGACCTTTTGCTCTGCCTTTGCCTCCTTTTCCTCCTTCTTGACCTCCTTCTTCCATATCTTTTCATTGTTTATCCTCTTGACTCTGTCTCTCTCCACGATGATGTTGATTGCCTCCAGCACAACCTTTGCTACACTTGATGGGTCTTTTGAAGTGCATTCCATAAAGTTATTGGCCTTGATCTCCTTTGCCTTCTTTTGTCCCTGTTGGCGAGTGGACCGACTTGTCAGTTGAGAGTGATCTCTCTGGTGTTGCAACAAAGTGTCACACTGATGAAACATACCTCTTTGAATGATATAGTGTTGGTTGAGCCTGTCAATGATGGTGAGGCATTGTCTCTCATATCTGTCTTTGTTCCTACCAAGATGAATGGTGTACCTGGTGAGTTGGCCTTTAGCTCAGGCAGCCACTTGATAATATGTTATGTTAGTTATACCATGGTATAAACAAATCTTGTCTTGCATCTATGTGACACTTACCTTATACCTAACATTGTCGAATGAGTCGCGATTCACAACTGAGTAACAAAGCATAAAGACATCATATTTGCAGTTTGTGTAACAGGTTGTTCTGATCTGAGCATAGTCATCCTGACCAGCAGTGTCCCACAGGATGACATTGACGAGCTTGCCATCCTCAACCTGCTCAATCGCCGAGAAGTTGTCAAACACTGTCGGTGTGTACTCTGTGATAAAGGCTTGGGTGATATAGGAGAGCAACAATGTTGTCTTGCCCACTGTGCCATCACCTACGACGCCACACTTGATCACCTTTGATATACGACCTGGGTCTCTCTTTTTTGTTCTCTCTGCTGAGGCATCTTCGCCAGCCGTGGCAACGTTGTTTAGGCTTGATGTAGAAGCCGTTGATGTGGTCGATGTGGACATTACTGCTATGAATAGAGGTTTATCTGTTGTCAAGTATCTGTTGGTGATATAATTCTTTGTTTGTGTTTGAATGCACAATGTGTGTGAAGGGTAAAAAAGCAATAAAATATTTGAAAATTTTAGACACCTAATTATCTTTATTTAATGGCAATAACAATAATCAAAATAATGATGTCCATACTTGAGCTATGATGTTGGGTATAATATTATTGTTGCGATTGGTTCACAGTTGTTGGTATTGTGTTGGAGGTGACGGTAGGCGTGGAGACAGAGGAGGTGGCAGATGTCGTTGGAGAAGCAACGGGTGGCGCAAGGCCTTGGATAATATCAGCAAGCGTTGGTTGCTTTTTCTCAGTCGCAGAAGTGGCTGTGGTGCCTGTTGTTGCCTTCTTATCCTCTTTTGGTTGGGAATCCTTGGGCTTGTCTGATTTTGGTTTATCCTTGCTCTCCTTATTGGATGGTTTCTTAGAGGACTGCTGCGGTTGTGTCTGTCCCGTTGACACTGGCTTCTTGTTCGATGATTTACCAGTGGCTGGGGAGGTTTGCTGGGATTGCTGAGGATTGGGAGATGCGGTGGATGGAGAGGCTGGGGACGCTGGTTGTTGGACAACTGGTGCAGGTGGTTGGCTTGCTGCGGCCACCACTGGTGACGAGGTAGCGGCTGGACCCCACTGTCTCTTCTTCATCTCCAATTGCTCATCTCCCTTGACGAGGGGTGGGAAATGTTGTGGTCCAGGAGGGACCTTTTGCTTCTCGCGCTCGGCCTCTTGCTTGGAGGTTTCCTCTGCAGCAGTACCACTCGACTTGCCTCCAGTCGCAGCGGCAGAGTTGTTGGGCTTGTTTCTTGATTTGGATTCGCGGTGTGGCTTGGATCTCGTCGTAGTTGTGGTGGTGGACTCTTGTGACTGAGCCGTAGGTGAAGTGGGTGATGTTGGTGTAGCAGTGACAGCTGCACCATTTGTCAACGAAGCTGGTGCAACGTTTGAGTGGTGTGGCGAGGTGGTGGTGGACTTTCCATTCGTGTGAGTGATTGGCTTCGTGTGATGCGTTCTTCTTGGTGGATATGGACGCTCTCCAGTGGTAGAGTAGCCGCTGGCGCTGCTACTGTAGTGTGGTGGCGAGGTTGTTGACGTCGATGTTGATGGAGGGGATTGTGAAATTGGAGGTGAGTGGGTTGAGTTGCTTTGAGGTTGCTGCTCATTACTATTACTGTTGTTGCTGTTGTTGCTAATAACAGCTCTATTTCCATTGGCTAAAGGTATAATATTGTTGTTGATCGATTGTTGTTGTTGATGGTGATGATGATGTGTTGATGTGTTGTAGTGATCACGTCTTGGTGGTCGCGATGTTTGATCCTTTGGTCCACGGTAGGGCTTTCGGTGCTCACCAGACTTTGTTGGATCGTAAGGTCGCGGCTCGCCCATCACACCCTGGTCCCATCCGCCATATGGATATCCGCCAACAGGTCTGGTCCACTTTTGGTTGAGGTTGTGGTTGATTGGTGGCACAGAGTAGTACTGAGTTCTGCTGACCACACCGTTTGGTACGCCATTGAGCTCTGCTGCTGCTGGGAACACCTTGGTCTGGGCGGATTCAGACCTGACGAATGTCTCGGACTTGATGCGCGCCTTGATCGGCTCGTTCTTGAAGGTGTTGTTCTGAGTGATATCGTGGGCCACCAGGGCATTCTCCTCAGTGTCAAAGGTGATGAACCACATCTTGCCAACTTGGTCGTATCTGACGTTGGTGATCGATTGTGTGGCAGAGTTGAATATGGCTCTGATCTCCTCCTCGGTGGTGGCCAGTGGAATGTCCCTCAGTATTAGGACGTTCCTTGGGTTCTTCATCTGAACTGCTGGTCGAACAAGCTTCTTCTCATCGTCCAGGATCAGTGCGCTGCTATTCGATATTGATTTAATGATTAGCTCAATATCTGTTGTGAGGCTCTTGATTTTCTGTGTGTCCAAAGAGATGATTGTTAGTTGTTGTTGTTGGTTGATATCTATCTATCTACACTCAACCTACATTGAAGCCTGCAATCACGCTGATTGGGATATACATTTCCGGTGACATCTGTGCCAGCAGGAATTTGTCGTTTGAAAGGTTGTCGCGGGACAAGTAGTACTCTACTTGCTTTCTAATCCTCTCCTCAATAGTCATCTCTACAGACTCTATATATACACACGTTAGAATGATGAGTCAGTCGTCTGTTGGCATGATGCTCTGTATATCTATGTATCCTGAGGGTACATACCTGAAGGTTGAATAGTTTGTGTGTCCATGTCTTGATATCGACTAACCAACTATATATTTTATATATGTATGTATTGAATGTATGTATGAATGAAATGAGTGTAATAAATTACTCGTCTTATCTCTATTTTCAAGAAGATGATGATGAAGAATCTGTTGTGTTAGTTAGTTCTTCTCTCTCTTTAGAGGAGCAGGAGGACTAAGAACAATCGAATGAATAATAATACAATTGATAATATTGTTGTTCTGTCTGTTCACAATTGTGGTGCTGTTGCTGCTGCTGCTGCTGTTGTTGTTGTGTAGAGATAAAGAGGAAGAGGAGGAGAAGGATGAGGTGTTGAAATTTAAAGAGATGATGATTGAACAACAAATAAAAATAATTGTTTGTAATGGTATGTTTAAGAGGTGTATATTTATAATATGTCTGTGTGTGTGTGTGTATGTGTGTGTGTGTATGTGTATGTGTGTGTTTGCAACAACAAAGAGAGAGAGATAGGAATGTGTTGGGGGTAGTGTACACCTTGATGATGTGTACATTGAGTGTGAACAGGCAGTCCTGGTCGAATGTCAATGAGGTGGTGGTGGATTGTGTGTTGTAAATATCTTAATGAATGTCGTGTGTGTAGATGTAGCGAAGCGAGTGGTCTTGTGTTGTCTCTGTCTTGTTGTTGATGTGTGGACTGAATGAAGTTTCAGCGCAATGATGAATGATAATGGCGATGATTATGTTGTTGATGTTGATGTTGATGAATGAAGTTAATGATCATACCAAATGAATCTGAATGATTAATGTCGACACGTGAAGTTGTCTTTGTTCAAAGGCACCCTATTTCTAATGACTCGAGTAATAGAATAGAGGTGATGTGTTTGACTGAAAAACTGCTGTTGTTGCTGTTGATCACTGACTGATAACTACTGCTGCTGCTGCTGTCTATCCTATATATCTTATCTATCTGACGTCTTTTAGTTGTTCAAGTTGAATGACTGAATGAATGACTGAATGACTGAATGATTGAGTGATGATATTAAAGAAGAAGAAGAGCTGTCGATTTATATCTTTCAGAATATATGCAATACACAATGAAATTGTAGGTAAGGTAGTTGACAACACCGAGAGAAAGAAGACCCTTGTTCAAATGATCGTGGAGCACTCACACCAGCAACACACACTGATCAAAAGCATCAGTGACTCGGTCTGGGTTTCCTTCGCTTGAATGGATTTTATAAAATTCATTTAAAATAAATAATTGGAGAGGGCAAAAGAAAATGATTGATGAGGTCCTGAATCAATAACGTTACACCCTGAACGTCAATCAATCAAACACTTAAACAAAAGTGATTGCTGCACATATACAAGTAATAAAGTTATTGTTATTACACTATATAAACTTATTATCTCTCCTTCTCTCGTTCCTTCTTCTCCTCCTTTTCACGCTCCTTTTCCTCCTTTTTCTCCTCCTTTTCTCGCTCCTTCTCCTCCTTCTTCTCCTCCTTCTCACGTTTCTCTCGTTCCTTATCCTCTTTGAGTTCTGATTCCTTCTTGGTGGATGCGATGATCATGTCCTCCATGAACTCGTCGAGACCAACATCCTCCTGATTGAGCTCGGCTAACTCCTTCTCAAACAACTTCTCCTCAAAGAAGTGCTGAGTGACTCCCTCGATCTTGATACCCTCCAGGAGCTTCTTCTTGAGTGCAGAGGGCGCAGCGGATGCCAACTCCTTGTCCTGTTCCACCTTGGCGCCAGTCTCATCCTTCTTCTCTGTCAGATAGTCATGTAGTCGCTCACCACCAATGCTTGCACGTCTCTCATCCTTTGGCGTGAGTGGTATGATCTTGTTGATTATACTCTTGATGTTATCCTTTGCATCCAATGTCTTGTCATCATCATCATCATCCTTGTCATCTTTACTATCGTCCTTGCTCTCTTGACTGTCAGCGATAGCATCCATGTTGACTTTGTTCACTTGTTGTTGTTGTACGTCAGTATCCTTCTTCTGAAGGTCGACCTTTGAATCAACTTTGCTTTGTCCTGGTTTGTCAATCTTGTCGTCACTATCACCATCATCATTAGGATGATGTCCACCATCACCACTTGATTTGTCACTCTTTCCATTGTCCTTGTCATCGCCACCATGATTGTCATCGTCATCGCCACCTCCACCACTTCCACCTCCACCTCCACTTCCAGTACTTTTACTCTTGCCATTCTTTTTCTGTCTCCTGCTCCTCTTCTTTTGTCGTTTTAGCTGCTTCTTCTCAAAGTAGAAGTTGGAGGTGAAGTTGACCGCCTCAATCATAAAGGCCACGACCAGGTTGAGCACACAGATCACCGTCAGGAAGTAGAATGAACAAAAGTACAGAATTGACCAGGCATTGGTGGCTTTGATAGCGGCATAGAAAAGCACGAACCAGTTGTTGACCACCATCAGGGCAAACATTGTGATCATGGCTGAGCCAAAGCTTGTGAATCCCTCCAGGATGAAGTAGTCGGCCGCAGTATATTCTGTGCCGGCCAGCTTGGGATTGTCTCGATAGAACACGCCACCATAGATCCAAATGCCAAGCACGGCGTAGAAGTAGTACACCAGGAAGATGATGAATATAAAGTTGATCAGAATGAACATGATCTGTGCCAGTGACTGAATAAAGTGTCTCATCCGACGCACAATGGAAAGTAGTCTGAGTGTTCGGATGAATCTAAAGGCCATGGCCCACTTGAGCATGGTGATGGAGCCACCATGACCGAGAGCACCTTCAAAGATTATCTTGCCCACCAATGACAGCATCATAATCAACAGGTTGAACATCGTCCAGAACTTGCGGAGTGTCGAGTATGAGAGCACCTTGAATGCAATCTCAACGGCCGACATTAGAATGAGGAAGGCATCAACGACTTGTGTCCACACTGGATTGTATATGTCGCGGTACTTGGTCAACACCAATGTGATAATGACCAAGTTGGCGTAGGTCAGAGCCAATGACACCAGTTCATAGCTCCAGTGCTTGGAGATCCTCTTGAATACTGCTGGGTTGTATCGCAATCTCTTCTTTCTCCCACCGACCACATTGTCCTTTGGCATCACCTTTTTGACATCGGTCATTGAGTCATCCGCTGGCTCTGTCGACACTTCCGATGCCGTGAGCGGGGGTATGTCGATGGCTTCATGCTGTTGCTCTCCAGCGACCATCGATGAATGATGATTGCCAGTGTTGTGGGTGGCCACACTGTACTCTGAGGTGACATCTGATTGATGAGTGTCTGTGTACTCGCTAGAGAACTCATCAAAGTCATTGTCACCGGCATAGTATGGATTTCGACACACGCTAAACTCCTCATCATCGGGTACATCATCGTTGACAACCTTTGATTTGCTGAAGAGATTACGATTGGAGACGATGTTCTTCATCTTGCCCATGAAGTTCTGTTGGTGCTCTTGCTCCACAGGTGTGGCGGGACTGCTGCTGCTGATGTTACTGCTCGAGAGGCCGGCCTGTTTCTTCTTCTTCGCCGCCAGTTGCTTGATGGTCTTGCGCTCCAAGAAAAACACATCACACATTGCAAAGAACTCGTGCACGTTGAGGAAGCCATTGGCATCCAGATCTATGAGATCAAAGATTGCTGAGGCCTCATCATCTTTGGCCTTGGGCTTGATGTGTTTGTAGATGCTCTCCCACTGATCCAATCTGATCACGCCTGTCTTGTCGTGGTCCAACACAATGAACGCCGCCAAAAGAGCAGTGCGACGCTTACGAAAGTTATTCTTGGTCTCTCTTAGTACAGCCTCTCTGAAACTCTTGTATACCAAGGCAATCATAAAGTTGATACCAATGTACAATCCAAAGCAAAGGAATCCAATGAATGGTATCGCATACCATGAGCTGATAGCATAGGCAGGCAACATAATATCGGGGAAGTTGGCCGTTGTTATCATCACCATTGTACTCTTGAATGATTCCAATGTTGAGTCTAATATGAACCGTCGTCAGTCAGTCAGTCAGTTAGTTGATTGATTGATTGAATGATTGAATGAGTCCATGACACATACCATAGTATCCTTTCACATTGGTTGTTCCATTTGATAGGAGGATAGAGAAGAAGATGGAAGAGGCGAATATGTATGTGAAGAATGCAAAGCCGACAGGGAGCATGCAGTAGAATGTGTAGCCGACTTGTTCGGCTACGTCACGTGTCAATCGATCATAGTCAATCATGTAGTAGATTCTGAATATTCTTGATACTCGTACACTGGCTATCCATTCATCCCACAGGATGAAGCTGACTATGATGTCCACATAGTTGATGAATAGGAACAGGGTCTTGAGCCAGTTCCATGGATTGCGTCTGGCCTGCACGCCATAGACATAGTGCTTGACCAAGAGCTCTGCGGACAGCACAACAATGCCAAACAACTCAAATGACATTGTGACGTAAGGACGGAATGTGAACGTCGTTGGATGCTCAAAGTAAGCAAGGAACAGTATCATCAAACAGATGAACAGCAGGAATGCTCGAGCCAATGGATGGAAGTACAGCATGTATACCGACAGCTGTGGTTGGGTCAACAGATGGTTTGGATTACGATAGTTGATGGCATCGTCAATAAGTACATAGGCAATGAATGTTCGTCTCTTCCTCTCGCTCTCGGTGATGTCCGACTCTTCGATGTCGGGATATTGTGATGTCTGCTGCAGGACATAGTCTCGCGTGGTGTTTGTCCTGTACTGCTGTGCTCTCGATTGGATAAAGTTGACATCGGCACGCTTGTGTGATGTTGGAAACTGTTGAAAGTGAATGTGGCGCGGTGGCGGCGTGTCGTACTTGGCACGCAGCTGCACCATTGTTGGCTTGCGTTGTGTTGGCAGAGGTGTATTGCCCAGGGATGGCGGGTGGGGTGAGGCAAAGGCGGGTAGACGGTTGTCACTGCCATGTCGCCAGAGGAACTTTGAAGGTGATATTGACGGTCGTGGCTGAACCAGTGGCGTGTTCTCTGATTGATGCAGGTCCAGTCCCTCCATTGTCGTTGGAGGTGGTGGAGTTGTCACATAAATTGGAATATTGACATTCTTATTTACATTTGATTCGCCCTCGCCATTATCATCCTCGAATACAATAACATCATCTTCATCTTCCAAAATGGTATCTGTCGCTTGGTTACTATTATTATTGTTGGTACCACCTCCTGGTGACACTGATGACATTATGATGTATGATGACCTGTCTAAAGGATCTTTGGGTCTAACTAATCATCTAATTCTTGTAAACTACCTCGAGAGGTCATTACAATGAATTTGAATAAGCGACATACATTATGTTCAAAGTCAACGTATTGGTTGGAGGAGTAGGAGGAGTGGTGGATGATGATGATGATTATTCATTGTTGTCCTCTATCTATGAAGGGTAGTAGTATTACTTATCCAGTCCTATCACGGCGAATTCCAAAGCACCATTGTCCACACTCATCACACCGACTTTGGCAATTTCATTTATTTATCAAGATTCGAACTTCTTTTGAGTTTGACTTTATCCCACCTCGCTAATCTCACCAAGACACTCACATTCATCACACACACTAACAGTCACTGACAGATGAACCTGATTGCTCAGGACGATGTAAGCTTGTAGACCCTTACACCCCTTCTGAATGAAGTGATGGATACACTAATTATATACTTGATGACATCTCTATTGTTATGACACAGCATCAACACCACTCAACATCATCAGCACCATTATTATTCAAACCTATAAATACCATTGTATTACATGTTTCAATAACAACTTGACATGCTATGATGCAATGGATGTGATTGATTGACATACCATATATAGGACAACTTAACATCATCACCAAGTAATAATACTCAATCATTAAGTCACTCCAGTCCAATCCAGTGATATATATATAACTTAATAATGATCACAATTAATACTATGCACTTGAAACAAGAGTTTAGAAGTCTAGAGTTGAGGAAACAGGTGGCATTTGTGGGTGCAGCAGGATCACTCCTATTTGCATTACTACTCACTTATGAGTTCATAGAGTTGATCACAAACATATTCTACTCTATCGTTCTCACCATCCTCATTGTATTCTGTGTTCAGAACAGATATAATGCCATCAAATTATTCCGCTTCCTCTATCAACTGGATGTGGCTCAAATAGATATATACACTCAATGGATCTACAACTATATCAATGCCCTGGCTACTGGTACCACTCCACCTACACTACCACCACGCCCGTCCTCCGCCACACCTTCAACATCCCCAACAAACAATGATGATGTTGATGTTGATGTTGATGATATCAACAATACCATAAACGATCAACATCAAACCAACTACGACCAAGAGTTACCAATTGATACCAATGGATTGATATTTGATAATCTATCGGACCAGGAGACAATCGATAAACTGTACGATCAGATCAAAGAGTTGAACCTGACACAGTTCTCTGAGCGTGCCAACCGTGATCGTGAGAGACTTGTCCTGCATCAAAAGATAAAGCTGTGCGCCCAGGCCATCTCTGACTCACAGCAGGAGAGAGCAAAGTGGAAGCAACTGGCCGAGCAACACACTCTCAAGTACACAGAGCTCACAAGAGAGAGGGACCAACTGGTGACATCAGAACAGCGACATCTCTCCAAAATTAACGATTATGAGCGCAAGGAGCGCTTCTGGAATGACAGTGAGCGAGCTCTACTCAAGAGGATATCAGAGTTGAAGGAGTCAAACTCATCGCTCAAGAAGGAGTCTGAGGACAAACAAAAGAAGATATCAAAGCTTGAGGACAATGTGAACAAGGTGGAGCGAAAGATATCACACTCTCCAAGTGCATCACCTAGGTCCTCATCACCAGTTCCACATACTCATGGCGCCGTCCAGTCATCAACCCTGCCAATCCCAATCAGTGGCAGCGTATCGAGGAAGAACTCATTCATTGGTGCTGAAGAGGACCCTGCACAGTCAGACACAACCAAGTTCAAGAGTCTCTTCAAGAAGGTCAAGAACAAGTTGGAGTCCTCAAAGATCATCAACAAGGCACAGGATCGTATAAACAAACATCTCCATCCAGAGAACTATCCAGTGGTGGTTCCAACTGTCATGGGTGGCAGCAGTGGTAGCGGCAGTCCACCATCAACAACAACAGCAGAGCCAACAACTATCAGTGCGACACCAACAACAGTACATCCCATTCTATTCGCTGACGATAAAGATATATTTGATGATGGTGCTGACACTCCCAAGATTGTCGTGGAGCAACCTGATATCTTTACCTTTGAGGATGGAGATAAAGAGTCGACCAACCCGGATACATTGGACGATCTTCTCATACTTGGAACTACTACTACATCATCATCAACGTCGTCATCATCGTCATCATTGTTTGGATGTATCAAGGAGCACTCATCAAAGGAGTCAGAGAACAGAACCGGACTTAGACGTGCCAAGAAGAAGCCACCTACACCTGATGCCAGCATGATGGAGGACACTTCATTCGCATGCTACCCATTCAACAACTCTAGCGACATGGCACTGTTTGGTGTGTTTGATGGACATGCTGGACGTGTGGCAGCAGAGTATGCCAAGCAACAGTTCCCAATAGAGGTGGCCAAGATCATCACCGAGCAACCAGGACTGTTATCATCATGCGATATGTCTGATATGCTACTCCAAGCCTTTGCCAATATTGATCACTTGATGAAGACATCATCCGATCATCTCTATGTTGGTTGTACAGCGACAATATCATTCATATGGACCTCTGCCGGTGGAGATAGGTATCTACAGATAGCCAATGTTGGTGATACTTCAGCATACATGTGGTAAGTACCATGAATGGATCAATGCAATAGGAATTGATTACTTACATTACATTAAATGACTAAGTCGTAATGGACAGTGTGTAGAGTTAACATATAGTCACAAAGCAAGCGACCCTTTGGAGAAGAAGAGATTGATAGAGTCTGGTATAGAGGTGTCAAAGGAGCAGACAAGGATCAATGGACTGTCTGTGAGTCGATCACTGGGCGATCACTTCTTGAAGGATCAGAACATTGGCCTGATTGGTGTGCCCTACCTATCCAAACCAATACTGCTCAAGGATACTGATAGTCTGCTTGTGATGGCATCGGATGGTCTGTGGGATGTATGTAGCGGTCACGAAACAATCGGTCTTGGCGAGCAATATATTACAAGAGGTGCCAATTCACTTTGTTCCAGTCTATTGCAACGTGCCACTGACAATCCAGAGTGCAATGATAATGTATCAATCATTGTAGTTAGGCTGTAATTAATTAATTAATAAACAGTGTACATAGATATTTATTTGGATTGTTTGTGCAATATGTTTAGAAGATGGAATAGAGAAAATGTAGCAATAGAGGCATAACCAATTATCTTGAAGACAATCCTCTTTAAGGGGAGATAGTCTACGTGAAATAGTCCATATGAGTTGGGCATTGTACTATGAATCCAAACACCATGATCAGATCTCCTTCCAATTACCCTTTGACCATCTCTTGATGTGATCTCGCAGAATTTCACATTAGGTGCTCTGGTTTCAAGTATATATCTAGTTATAAATAAATATATCATTGAAGGTGTCAAACCAGAGAATGATCTCTTATCAAAAGAAATAGACTCGAAATGGTTGTCAATCTTGGTAATAGATTCAACATCTGTGAATTGTACTCTCTTAACCGAGGATAGAGATTGAGAAAAGAAACCTGACATTGATGATGGTACCCAAAGTGTTTGCACACTTAAAGGTAGTTTCACTAGTAGTTGTTCCATTCCATGTTCCAATCCTAGTTGCCTGAGGGATGATGGGAAGGTAAATGATGTTGGGAAGAATATTGGGGTATTCTCTAGTATATCACCACGAAATATTCTCAATAATGTTATTGAAGAAGGCAATATGTGATTACTCTGGATAATAAAAGAGCTACCTCCTACTAATGTCAGAAGTGGAGGGAGAATACCTTCATGAATTGGGAAGTTGTAATGTCTTCCCAGATTCAAATGTCTAAGGGAAGTTGGAAGTGTACCCGGTTGGATAGCTTCATGGTTATATGATCCAAGTGCCAGAGATTGAAGAGATGAAGGTAATCCAATGTTGTTGATTGAATGAGTGTATGATCTAAAAGATAAGGCAGTAATGGAAGATGGTAGAGCTCCAGGTGAAATGAGATTAAACACATATCCCAAGTTTAAAGTCCTTAGACTTTTAGGAAGATCAAAGTTCAAAGGTATTTGGAATAAACATCTATCAAATGACAATTTCTCAAGACCTGGAGGCAAAGATCCTCGATAGATGGGTTGATCAAAGAGGATTCCAAACTTCAACGAAGTGATATTGTTGGGTAACATTCCTTCCCTAATAGGAAGTTTGAAATTATCGTCAAGAATCAAATCTATTATAACGATATATATATGTTATTGTCCTCCTGATTCAAGTTCGTGACAAAGTTTTGAATTTTGAATTATGAAGTTTGAAAGTTCACTTTTGGATTGGTGGAATGGAATGAATTGATAATAAATTAATAAATAATATTTGAATAAATTCATATTGCCATGAATCCACATTTAACTATTTATTTATCATTTTTCTTTTTATCGCCAGGGTGGAGACAGTGCCGGTAAATATTCCTGGTGTACTCCAATGTTATTTGCTGGAACGCTTC